AAAGTGGCATAAACCTAAACTCGCTCACTCATCTTACAGACTGATGAGACTGGTGACAGATGAGAATGATGATTTAGCATTGGAATACATTCTATATTTGTAAAAAATGTTCCTGATGCTCTGTAAGCTATAGATAGTGTTTCATTGTCAGCTGAACTCTCCAATAAATACAGTTGGAGTTTAGCAGTGGTTATTTAGTCATACTACCAGACATCCTGGACTAGTCAGAATTTGTTTAGGTTCACTGCTGAGATTCCGACGCATAATAAAATACATATTTCTGGATATTATCTCGTGTAAAATTGCAGTCATAATTACATTCAGGTCAACATGTTGCAAGTGTCATACCTCAGCTGTGTTTAGAGTAGGATGTGTTTTGTAATTTTTGTTTAGTTTCTACCATTGACCTCATTGTTGTTTGTTGCCATGGTTACCTTCTATGTACAAGCCTGTCAGTGTTTGAGTGACAGCTGTCATACATGCAATCATCCTCGGTGATCCAGGGTGAAATATCTCCATTATGTTACCCACAAGACAAGACTTACTCGAGTTAATGTTGATTTTTAGACATGAGTGTTTGAGCTATTCTTAATCTGATCGACCCACTGACATCATATGACATCACATTATGTTGTGGTTGGGGACAACGTTTTATTACTCGCCCGTGGAAGATACTGCAGGGTAATATGTTTACAGCAATATTAAACTAGTGTAATACTGCTAGACATATGACGTCATAATGATTACAGTTATGACGTCACAATGCTAATGCCTGTCACAATGGTACTTGACCTTGCTTGACTCGCGGAAAATTGATATGAGAGTCATCACAGTGTAGGCAGTTTCTATCAATTTATGTTGGAGAGTATTAACAGAATTCTAAACTCGCTTCCAAGAAATACCATTTTTATTAAACTCGTGCAAGATTTAGTATCAAACTCTCTTTCGCTCATTTGATACTGAATCATTAACTCGTTAGTACACGGAAGGTCGTTTAGTATCGTCTATATATGACATTGTCCATTCTTTATGATGTCACACGTGATTGTTACATCATCTGAACGATATACTTCTTTAATGAAGTGTCTCTGTAGGGTTGACATGTGATATATTTATATATTTTGCTCTTAAAATTTCAACGAGTAACAAATAGAATAACGTCTTCAAACTCAGAACCATGGATTATCTGCCCCTGAGTACCATGAGCCGTGAGCCAAGGCTTGGGATTAACACTATTCAGGAGAGATAATCCATAATTCTGTAGTGTGTGGGTTATTATATAATTATGATCTATTATACCTTGGATCCATTCAATCAACCTGTTCCATTCCCAACATGGGTACAAAGTATGAAGCCCATTTTTGTTTGCCCCACTGTGATGTTGCTGGAATATTGCTAAAAGTGGCATAAAACCATACTCACTCACTCAATATCCACTTTTCATCTTGTGAGAATTTCTCCCCAAATAAGTAAAATTTAATTTTACTGCTTGTCAGCATCTCAAATGAAGCCATCTTGACTGGATCCAGGGTATTTATGCCGACAATGGAAATACGCCCTGCATCACCGAGGATGATGTGCGAGGACTGGTGTATATTTCAGTATGGGTTGTTGGGTCAGTGTTTAATGAATGAAGTCATGTTACATTGAAATCATCTGTGTGGGCAAGTGATAAACATTTTTTCACAAATAAATAACATACTATTCTCACAGTTTGTCTTAGCATTGTTTTGTTCAAGGATGCTTACCCATGAAGATCCGGGATCGAATTGATCTTTAGTAACCCATGCTTGTCATAAAAGTCGATTAATGGGATCGGGTGGTTAGGCTCGCTGACTTTGTTGACACATGTCATCGTATCCCAATTGCGTAGATCGATGCTCATGACGTTGATCACTGGATTGTCTGGCCCAGACTTGATTTTTTTACAGATCGCTGCCATATAGCTGGAATATAACTGAGTGTGGCGAGAAACTGAACTCACTCACTCAAGGATGCTTAGTTTGTTTTCGCAGGACCTTGGAATTAAGCAGGCTCTACCATATTTTCTTGAAAATAGTGGCCAAAATACATATTTTTATTAAAGAAGTTAGATGAAACATGTTTTTTATGCCTGAATTCACTGAAGGGATACAAATTAGATTTATGTCTCTGTATTATACTGAGATTTCTTTTTAAAAATACTGAAACCCACAGATTGGGGTACACATTATACATGGATGTGCACTATACTCAGTTAAATGTAGTATTCTTTGTGGTTTAGAGCATCTATCAGGAGACCAACAAGCAGTGTGCAAAATAGCCACTGGCCCACTAGCCTGCATCTAGTTTAAATCCAGTTGGGACACATTCATTGACCCGACTGTCTAGTGAATTTCCATAGGGTCATTTTGTGGTGTTATCTTTTGCTTAGTTTCTACATTCAAATTTCAGGCCAGAGAATTATTTTGTGGGTTAGTAACTTTAAGGCACAGCTAATCTGACTGGCTTGCAAAATTTGGAAACTATTTCTCACACTGCCAGCAGGCAGGTGGATCAATCTCCCTCCTCTTTCGAAGAGACACGAAACAGGGTACTTATTGTTACCTTCCTTGGTCGATGCGTGGGAGAAAACATGACGCCTTGGTGTCTCTACAATGTGTTGAACTGTGGACTGCCTACTCACAAAAATTAAAGTTCGATCAATGCAAAACCATATATTACGAGGGTCGGTCAAAAAGTACTCAGCCTAACTATATTCTCGATGTCCTATGTTTGAAAAGCTTCCATTTTAGTTTGTAGGAATCATTAGCAAAGTCGTTATAAAAATTCACATATGTGGGTAATGTGATTAACGAGATATTAGTCATCACAACACATTGGGGTATAATATTTCTACAAAAATGCAAAAAAATGAAAAGCGATCCGTCATTTAGTACCTCTTGGATAATGGTATGCCCTCAGATAATGTCATATAAAATATGTTAGCATAGTATTGGATGATTTCCGTCATAATCAACATTCAAAGATTTGGATTGCTTGATTTATGTTTAGACAGGGCTGTTTTTAAGGACACACCCATTTTAGCCTTTCAAAAACATTGTGTCCAGATATTCAAGCTGGCCCTGTTTACAATATACTGAGAGTTGACACTTGTGTGACCATTCAGTATTTACTTTGAACCTTTAGCATCATGTGTGAAAAAGTGAAAACATTAGAATATGTTATGTCCTTATGATTTCTGCCGCCTGAACGGGGTGGTAGTGTGTCTCCAAAACAAGCTGTTTCAGTAAACATGAAAGGGGAATCACTTTAACAAGCGATTGTACATGTACTTTCAAATTGCTTTTTATCCACTTTAATATCTAAGTTTGATTCTAGCGGACATCTACCTATCTCAAACACACACAAAATGTTTCTTGCATATTTTGTTACCTGAAGTTAATGGTGCATTTATTGCAGATTTTTAGCTTTTGGGGTAATGAAGATAAAATTTCAAACAAAATGGGAATCGTAAGGCTGGAACGTAGCAAAACCAATTTGCTTGAGGTTGACAGATAATATGTAGAAAAATAAAAACATAAAAACAGCTGCTTTTGAATCATTTACTAGGTCAGGCTTACTACTTTTTGACTGTCCCTCGTTATCAACACAGATCCTAGCTGTTCTGTGTCCCATACTCGCCTAAGTCCTGGAGTGGGGCAGGTCAGCCAAACGCTCTAAGACAAAGATTGGCCTTTAAGACAAGATAACTAGTACAGGTGAGTGAGTTTAGTTTTACACAACACTCTGCAATATTACAGCTATATGTCGACTGTAAATAATCAAGTCTGGACCAGTCAATCCAGTGATCAGCAGCATGAGCATTGACTATCCAGTTGGGATACAATGATGTGTGTCAATCAAGTCAGCGAGCCTGACCGCCCGATCCAATTGCATAGATCGATGCTCGTGATGTTGATCACTGGATTGTCTGGTCCAGACTCCATTACTTACAGACTGCCGCCATATAGCTGGAATATTGCTGCATGGCATTAAACAACAACCAACCAACATAAGGAGAACACACATTCAGTCTTTACAGAAACAGTTTATTTCACAATGATCAGAGTTAGCAGTCAGTATCAAGTATGTTCAATGCCAACTTTCCTCTCTCAGATGATAATGGATATTTCCTTGCCAATCCCAGCGGTTTGGGGACCATGTTAGCTGTTAACTGAACAGCAGATTCACTTCTATAGCAACATGCAGGCACATCTGTGTTTGGCTGTTTGTATTGTCTGAGCCAATGCAAGCGGTAAAGTGCAAGCCCATGCGTGAGTTTTGTTTTACGCCACTTTTAGCAATATTCCAGCAATATCATGGTGCAAGGGTGGAAATAACTTTAAAATTGCTAGTGTAGTCCGTTACAGTGGCACATGTAAAATCACTTGCCCTGATAATATTTCCACTGTACCTGCCAATTTTCTTGTTCATTTTGTAAATAAACAACACAATTAACATGGGAAAGTCAACTGGACACTGGTACAGCGTGATATACAAATTTGCTTGCCCGACAAAATAAATCTGGACTGGGGCGTCGGGCAATGGGTTATTTCCACCCCTGTGGCGGTACACATTAGAAATGGGTTTCACACATTGTACCTATGAGAGGAACTGAACCTGGGTCTTCGGAGTGTCGAGCGACACTTTATTCACTAGGCTACGCCAGTATCCTGCAAGCCCATGAGACACCATGCATTTTAACATGGATGCCACCTCCTTCCCGACAAATAACATGAAGAGAGAATGGGGATCAAAGCTCCTCAAACAGTGTCGAAGTTTCATCATAACATGTAAACCTAATATGGCGAGAACATCCAAAGTCACGGAACTAAGTCGTTGACCAGAGAAACCCATGATGCTGAATGATGAAGGATCATAACTGATGCCACATTTAATCTCATGGCAGCACATCCTGACAACAAAGGCAGGTAACTGCACTGTGGTGCCTTAGTATACAATGCCTATTCTCTTTCTCCTTCCTTCCCGTAGTTAACTGGTTACCTTACCCGAGTTAAGCCCCTCCACACGTAAACACGTTAACCTCCTTCCCTCACCCCATGCTAACAAGTAAACCTCATCCCCCAACCCCATGTTAACAAGTTAACTTTCCCACCCCCATGTTAACAAGTTAACTTCCCCAACCCCATGCTAACAAGTTAACCTCCCCCAACCCCATGCTAACAAGTTAACCCCAACCCCATGCTAACAAGTTAACCCCAACCCCATGCTAATAAGTTAACCTCCCCCCCCATCCCCATGCTAACAGTATTAACCTCATTCCCAACCCCATGCTAACAAATTAACCTCCCCCAACCCCATGCTAACAATAAACCCTCCTCCCACCCCATGCTAATAACTTAACCTTCCCCAACCCCATGCTAACAACTTAACCTCATTCCCCAACCCCATGCTAACAACTTAACCTCATTCCCCAACCCCATGCTAATAACTTAACCTCATTCCCCAACTCCATGCCTACAACTTAACCTCATTCCCCAACTCCATGCTAACAAGTTAACCATTTTCCCAGGGGGGTTAACTCCTTCACCCCACCACCCCCTAAACAAGTTATCCCCAACCTAAGCCAACAGGTTATGGATGTCAAACTCTGTAACAAGAAGACTTCCGATACTCTAAACAAACACAAGCCACCATAACCAACACGTCATACATTCGATGAATACACACCATCATACACAATCCTTAAGATTTAACGTTTAATGTTCTCGGCATTAAAACTACCATCATCGACATACATGTAAGCCAGACATTCAAATACTCTTTCGAAATATTTACAACTATGAGTAACAAACTGTTTCTACAAGATAAATAATGATACAATCTACAGTAGAAAAACTTAAACAGCAAAGTGTGATTCCATCCAAACAGACTGAACAACGTCGTCGTGTGACACATTAGTCATACAGATGTTCATTGCAGTAATCGGTTCATAACATATTTGACATTGAAGAATTTGTGTTATATTGTAATGCGAAGAGACGGTTTAACCAAGCATGTTTATTTTCCTTTGCGACCTTTCTTCTTCTGCTGTTTTGAAGACTGTTGTTGATGGCCACCAGACTGGGACTGAGACTGTGTACGGGCTTTCAACTTGGGGATGGTCTGTCCGAGGTACACCAGGAGAGACTGACCTGAAACATCAGAGTAAAGGTAATGTTTGATCTGCACATCAAAGTAAAGGGAATGATTGACCTGAACATCAAAGAGAGTGGATGAGTGAGTTTCACTATAATCAGAACAAACTCCCTACTAAACCCAACAGTGGATTTCCAGGGGAGGGAACTCTGTATGGGAACTGAACAACCTATGATGCTGTCACTACAGTCTGTTTGCAGTGAAAACGTGACGGATGAATTTCTTCATTTAAACAAAAACTATGTAAATCAAATCAAGTGAAATTAAGATTACCTAATCCTCATAATTTTTTAACTTGTCAATTGAACATTTAAATCTCAAAATTTTATTCAAATTAGGATAATGTAATTTTCTGAATAAAATTGATATTTTATACTTATCCTGACTCATGCTCTTTTGCTTGTCTTCTTCTTCTTGCGAACATAGTGGAACACTTGTATCTCCCTAATTGAAGCTCCCTTCAATGTAAAATCACTAATTAGTACTCACCACGAGTTGCCTCCCTCTTCCATTTGCTGGCGGAAGGAGTAGCACCCTCTTCCCATGCTCCACTTTCTCCTGATATAGCGAGCCCAACACTTGAATTTTCAGGGAAATCCAAAGTGTTATGTGGGGAGGATGGGAGGGCTTACCTCATGAGTCAGGATAAGTATAAAATATCAATTTTATTCAGAAAATTACATATTTTTCCTTATCCTGACTCATGCTCTTTCGCTTGTAGAATCCTACGAAACGGAGGTGGGGAAAAACCCCAGAATACTTTGGATTTAAATAATTAGTGATTTATATATATATATATATGTAATAACTCCCCTCACGGAACTTCATAATGGCACTGAATTAGGATAATTCCTGCTACTATAAACCATAAGTTTTATCAGCTGCCATAGATGGGGTACTACAATAATTATATACTATGAAAATAGCAATAATGGTATAAAGGCTGACTCCAAAATGGAGAAGCTACCCAACTGTACATAAACATCAGTACTGGGCTTAAGACTAAGTAGACTTAAGATATGTATATAAATAGCCCTAAAACTCTGTAGAGTTATAAGCTAGATGATACTGGTATGATATATACATAATAATCTCGTGAGACTATGTCTCATCGCCTCCTTTAGGGACTGTCAACTGCTGTCGCGAGGACCATAGGACCGAAATGGTGAATACCTGAGACGTCCTTGGTGGTGATATCTCTCAGATAGTGATTAGCAAACACCATGTCAGATTTCCAAAAGCAGCCCTCCATAATGGTATTTAATGAGCAATTACCGTGTAGAGCGAGGTGTGGAAGCCAGTGCTCTGATCTCATGTGGATTAGATGCTCTTGGAGGGTAGAGTCCTGCAGCCTTGTAGGCACGCTGGTATGACAGTTCTTATCCATATCGATATGGTGGTACCAGAGACTTCGGTCTGAGTCAGCTGTCGATAGAGGGATGAATAATGCGCTTGAGATGTCGTTGCCTCGTTTTGGATGGTAGTAGATAGATTTTGAGAGCTCTGACTGGGCATAGAGATAGGTCAAAGTGTATCTTGAGATCCGAGAATTGAGGAGAGTGCAGGAACATGGAATAATCTGTCTGGTTGACCTGGCAATTGATTCTTGGCGATGAAATCCCATCGTAGTCCCATGTGCACTATGTTTTGATTGTCGTCAAAACTTATTCCTCTCATAATCTAGTGCGTGAATTTCTGACATCCTGGCTGCCGATAACAGGAACAATGTTTTCTGTGAGGGAAATTCAAAGGTTGTTGATTCCAGTGGTTCATAAGCGGTGGGTAGCCTGATGGTTAAAGCGTTAAGCTCGTCACCGAAGACCGGGTTCGATTCCCCACATGGGTACAATGTGTGAAGCTCATTTCTGGTGTCCCCGCCGCAATATTGCTGGAATATTGCTAAAAGCGGCGAAAACCAAACTCACTCACCAGTGGTTCATAAGCCTCGTTGTGAGGTGTTGGAGCACTATATTTAGATCCCAAGCCGGAGCTGGAATTTCTGTTTCTGATCCACCAATCGGAAATGCACGTAGTAAGGCCAGTAACTCTGGCGCCTTGGTTAACTTTGACACCCGTTCTCATAGGTTATTACAGAACTAAGCTGCAAGATATGTTGACAATGTCGAACCTTTTAAATGTTTATTTTGTCGTAGGTAACACAGATAGTCAGCCACTTGTGGATGTGTAGCATTTCTTGCTGTAAATCCCTTTTTGCTGCGTAAGTTTCAAAACTGTGCCACTTGTGTCAGCCGTATAGATGCGTTGACTGTGCGCGTGACTGCTTTCGCGCTCTGGCTGAATAACCTTCTTGTTTAGACACACTTTAATACAGTCCATAATGTGAAGTTGGAATGCTTCTGGGTTTCTGTGCACTTGTTTGGTGTGAGGATGTATTAGTAGATTCGGCGCGCTTTGGTAGCTCCAGTGTTGGTTGTCCGATTTCTTGAATTAAAATGGGAAACCACGTTCTGGCTGGCCAGTAGAGGTGCGACCAAAATCAGTTGTAGGCTCTGTGTTTGTCTGATTTTCTGTAACACTTGTGGGATTAGCTGGTGGGCGGAAACGCCGCGTCGCCGCTGAGGCCTTCCCAGGATATGCTTAGAGCCGTTGTCCACGCTTTGGGATCCGGGACTGGTGATACGAATGTTGTTAGCTGATTGTTGAAGCGAGTGGCGAATAGGTCTACTAGCGGAGCTCCTATTTTCTTGATAATCTGTGCAAAGATTTCTGTATGGAGCATCCATTCTGTCGGTGACGGTAGGTGTGGCCGAGAGAGTGCGTCTGCTAGTACATTCTTGGCTCCGGGAATGTGACATGCTCTGACATGTAAGTTGAGATCGTCGATTAGATCGAACAGTTGAAAGCATAAAGTCAATAGGTTCAGTGATCTCGTTGAGCCTTGTTTGTTTACATAAAACGCCACTGTTGAGTTGTCGGTGTGAATCATCAGATGCGCCTTCTGTAGAATGGTGCTCCAATGTAGTATGGCGTTGATTACTGCTTTCATCTCTAGCATGTTTATGTGGAGCTTGCTTTCTTGCTGATTCCATAACCCTGATGCGTCCGGTTGGCGAGAGATGAGCTCCCCAACCTTGAGCCACGTCTACATAGAGATGGGTTTTGAATTCCAGATCTGTTAAATAAATGCCTTCGCAGACATTCGACCTCCTTGTCCACCATAGTAGATGAGGTCTGATGTGTTTCGGTAGACTGAATGGCTGTAGGTCGCCGAGATAAGCGCTTGATGAAGACCTGTAACGGGCGTAACTGTAGTCTGCCTCTGACTGTCATGTCTTGGGCTGATGTGAGGAGACCCAACAGACTCTGCCATTGTCGTAGTGGTAGCGGAGAGAGTAAGGCTTGTGGGATGGTCTGTTGGATCTTGATCCATCGGTCTTCTGGTACACGCTTACGGTTCAGTGTCGGATAAATCGAATGCCTAGAAATTGCAGATCTTGAGTAGGTTCTAGGTCCGACTTGAGTAGATTTACTAACCATCCTAGCTGTGTTAGTAGCTTGATGATGAAGTTTAACTGTAGTTTGAGACGCTGAGGATCTTGATCTACTTGTATCCCGTCGTCGAGGTAGAACGCACTGCGTAGCCCTCTAGACGATGTAGGTAGGTGACGATAGGTTTCAAGCATCCCTTGTGAATAACCTGGGGCTGATGATATTCCAAATGGGGAGTACTTTCCATTGATAATGCAGCCCGCCTAGTGTAAACCATAGGTATTTCCTGGATTTGGGATGTATCGGGATGTGTACATAAGCATCCTGTAGATCTATACTGGCCATGTAGTCCATGGGACCTAATTAGGTGCCGTGAGTTGAGGTAGATGTATCATGCGAAACGCTGGCGGTTTGTGTAGATAATCTCTGTTGAATATGCTCATGTTGTAAATGAGTCTGTAGTTCTCCTTGGAGTTTTTCTTGGGCACTAGGAAAACTGGGGAGTAGAAGCCTGGTTCGATGTTTACTTGATCTAGTACTTCTATGGCCTGCTTTGGTTAGGAGAGATGTAACAGCCTCTCTTAACTTTGGTAGTTGTTGCACCTGGAAGTCGAACTTGTGAGGGTTGAATGTCAGCGAGGCGCGGGCCTGTAGTTGGATTCGATATCCGTGTTGAAGAATGTTGGAGACATATGGGTCTTGTAACATTCCCCAGTTCTCCCAGTGCAGTTGGAAGGCGCCCACCCACTTGTGACGGTTGTACTGGAACGGCTGGGGTGGAAGACTCCAGTCATTCCGAACCTGTCTTTCATCGCTCATAGTTGCGGGAACCTCTGGGTGCCCTGCCTCTTCCTGATCCTCCTCTGTAGTTACCATATGGGCTGAATTTAAAAGAATCTTTTCCCCTGAGCTTGCCATCTTCCTATCCCGTGCTTTCTGTAAGCCAGTGAATTTAGATTTCCCTGAATATCTCTGTGAAGTCTGCTTGATGACGCTGGCTAGTGTGTCCATCGACTTTATCATAAGGACTTCTCTAAAATCCTTGGTGACTACCTTAGAGACTTTATCTATTCCTCCGTCCGAAGATGGATGGCGTGAACCACGGGCTGTGTGTACAGCTAGGGCATATTAAGGCCAGACACGGCACCTTAAATTGACATATTTGCTTCAATACGCCAAAATCGAGATTTTGATTTTTCGTGATAATTAACACATGTACTTCCAATGATACAACACGTTGTTTCGATAAAGAGTCTTTTATTGATATAAACCCCCTACAAACATAATCGATATGTGATAATATTTAAAATGTGTGAAATCAAACCCTGAAAAACGCCCGAACTTTCACCCCTAACAACCCTCCCAGCAGGGGACGAACCCATTCATGTTTTACATCGCTAGAAAGCTCATCGTGGTCCGGCCATGTTGCTGGTCAAAACATTCTAAAAATAGATATTCTAATGAGGATATCTCTACTTTCCCGCCGATAGGTATTCTGTACGAAAACATCCTTGCATGGCTTAAATATCCCACAATGCAACATTCGCAAGGCTAAATATCCCACAATGCAACATTTGGTAATCTTCATTACATCCTTATATGGTAAAGGTATCCCACAATGCACCATTCGCATATCAACAAAACATCGCCCTTTCCCCGTAAGCATTCAAAATGGCGGCTGCTTAGCTTAAAAAACATCGACCGATAAACATCGTGATTTGATATATTCTTGACTAACAGTTGTTGTATTCTATAAAAATGAGAAGAACAAAGTCAAAGCACGCACTTCTACATTAAGAATAAGAGGCGCCAGTTGCGACAGGCATGCTTAAATGCAGTGTCAAAGATCCGACAAGTTTTGATCAAGCATGCGTTTAGATCCCGACAGCTTCTACATTTTTAGATGCATCGAAACATCTGGGGACCACGCCTTTGAGGAAAACATTCCCAATGGAGTCAATGAAGGTAAGAAATAGTTTTTTGATTGAATGGAGATTCACGATAAAACTTTCAAAATTTAATTTTTTTTTGAAAACCTCCGATCTCATTTCCTTTGTCAATGACAAACCTACACCTCAATGGATGCGTAGGGATAGAGTTTGTGTTGAAGCAACTGACTACTGAGTGGTTGTTGTATAGTGTAGGGGAGTTTTATGTCTTTTTTCTTTGTATATGAATTGCTTCCTGTATTTTGAATACATCCCCTCAGTAAATTGAGACTTTGAATGTGTTTATCTCATGCTAAAGTAGGAAAAAAACATGACCAAATTTATTTCCTTATCTTCTCCATATACGCCATTTTCGATCTTAGTGAACATGGTTCTCAGTTGTTACTGGCCCGATTTCAATGAAATTTTGTGTACATATAGCCAATTGATTCCTTTATGCAATAACAGAGAGACTTTTCAAATTTGTTGCCTGTTTTCTTTTTTAAAAAATAAAATATGAGTGAAAATCAACCCCCAAAAAGTGATTTTTTTAAAACAAATTTTAAATAAAATAACAGTCTTTTTTTAAAATATCTCTCTGTCATTGTACCCTACACACCCCAAGGTATGTTGTAAAGTTGAAATTATATAGATATCTTTATTAGTTTTAGAGAAAAACTTTCACTAAATTTCATTTTTTCAGGCTTGCAGCGTCCATCTTGGACGCTTCCATGGCAACCGGTGGCAACATCACCTGGAAAAGACTCTTTATCGATTGTTAACATGTATACCTCTAAGTTGAAACTAAATAAACCTAACAAATACTTGTTAAGCATTTTGTCATATGTGAGGTGCAGTGTCTGGCCTTAAATGCGGATCAGCAGCAGAAAAGCGTAATCTACAAATAGTACAGATTTTCATCAAGGTAAACTTGCTGAACAATCACGGCGCCCCGTGAATAAACAGCAGAAATATGATTAATTATCAATACATAAGGATACTAGCTACACCTCTATAGAAGACTATAAGAGGTAACTAACTAAGAATAATCAAAGGATATAGTGTGTAGGGAGACACAGGCGCTCACATCCTGCTCACTGGGCTAAGAAGGAGAGAGTGAAGCATGAGGCCAGAGGGTGGCCTCCTTTCCAAGCGCAAATGGAAGAGGGAGGCAACTCGTGGTGAGTACTAATTAGGGATTTTACATTGAAGGGAGCTTCAATTAGGAGATACAAGTGTTCCACTATGTTCGCAAGAAGAAGAAGAAGACAAGCAAAGAGCATGAGTCAGGATAAGGAAAAATAATGTTGTTTAACAAACGATCATAGATTCACATCGCTATTACTGGTTTTGTATTACAAGGGGTAAGCGCAGATAGTTGGAACAGAGAAACAAATGCACGGTGGTAATGCGGAAGAGTGTTAACTTATAACAACCCTTGTTGTTTTCGGTGTTTCATTTGATGTGCATACCCCTTGTAATACAAAACCAATAATAGCCATGTGAAACTATGATCGCTTGTTAAACAACTTTATCCTAAGTCTAATAAAATTCTGAGATTGAAATGTTCAATTGGCAAGGTAAAATCATGAGGATTCGCAGTCTTAATTTCACTTTATTTGTTTTACTTTTTGGTTTAAAGTGACATTCATCGGGTACGCTTTCACTGCAAACAGACTTTAGTGTCAGCTTCAGATGTAACCCTGATCAACCAAAGATGGAGACTGACATGAGACGTTTTCTTAAGTGAGCATCTGATGTGCTATTTTGCTGAAAGCAAACTTAGTTCACTGCACATGACAAATCATTTGTCTTTCAGTAAGTATCAAACTAGAACCGAAAACCCATCAAGCCTCTGTAAACCTTCTAGAAAATCAAGTGCAGTGCACATATTTCAAACCTATGAGGCTAATTGCTTGGACCACAAAAGTGTTGCTATGGCTACTGCAATAATAGGCCCAGATAAATCTCTTCCTCACAAAACATTTTAGATGAGCAGTAAAAATTGGAAGGCTTCAGATAAACTTTTGCTAAAGTTGACTAAACTAGACATATGGTAAACAAAATGTCCACAACATTATCCAGTAAGTTTGTTCAATATGGTGCGAAGTTGTCTTTGATAGGCAGATATCCCAGTGATAACTTCTAGGAACAGTTTTCAATTTATGATCCACATAAAAGAACCCACGAATCCGTTGGTAAATGACCAGATGGTGGCCACAAGAATACGTGCAAACACCTAGTTGCGGGTACAGCAACGTGCAGTGAACTTGGACAAAGAACTGTGACTATGTGTCCCAGTCCACCCAGCTGTGAATGGGTACCTCGTAAGGATGGGAAAGCCACATTAACTTGGTGCGCTTAAATGGCAGCAAGAGTTGTATGATTTCCCAGGGAGTGGAGATCGAAAAACAAAACGATGTGCTGTTGAGATTGACATCCTATGATCGACGGAAAAACAAAGCGCCTTTGAGCAGCTGAACTGGATATTGGCGCAATACAAATATATAACATATCCTGAATGCAACAAAGAAAACAACATAATTAACATAATTGGCAAACTGATGAAGCCAAAGGGGTTTACAATGGGAAAGGCATGGAAGCCAGAGATGTAGAACTGAAAGGGGTAGTTTCTTTTGTACATCTCTGGCTTCTACGCCTTTCCCTTTCGACTTTCATGTGTTCACTCTGGTCCAATACAATTTTTTTCTCATTTCAACTATGAGAAAAAAATTGTATTGGACCAGAGGAGCAAAAAGTCAAGAAAATATTTCTGGACCCCGTTCCTCAAAGCGATTGTAGCGCTAAGGTGATCGTAACTCCCATACTTTAACACAGACTTACGACTGTCGTAGCGCTACGATCGCTTTGAGGAACGGGGTCCAGAAATATTTTCTTGACTTTTTGCTCCTAAAAAAAGAGTTGCTAGGCAACAAAACCTGATGACTTACGAGATGGAAATTGTTCTGAAACTGGCAGTCCGTCCTCATTTCTCAGCTGGACACGGATCCGACCTCTGAACTTCTGATCTCGGTGATCCAACTCCCGGGGGTAAACTTTATTCTGAAGCATTCAAATGATTCTGTAACATGTCTGTCGAAGTATCACAGGACATTTCAAGGCACAATGTCACACATTTTCGACAATATTTTGGCGTATACTATATATATTGGGGCACATGCACTGACTTTAGCTTTCTATTGATGCAATACAACACTTGTTATCCCGTACATCTTAACTGAAAATGAAATCGATAATTGAAACTTCAAGGCAAACAGCTTCCAACAGAGAACACTTGCCATGTATAGAAGGTAAACAATTGCTTCGTACATCAAAAACATGTAGCTGGAATATTGCCGAGTGTGGCGTTAAACAACAAACAAAACAGACCCTTATTTCTCAAAACAAACTTAAGTCTGAGTTTTGACTTAAGTTAGAGTTTTTACTCAAATTTGAGAAAAATGCATTTTCCAGAATGAACTAAAATCAATAATAAACTCAAACATAGTAGACAATTTGAGTTTGGTGGATAGATTACTTACGTTGTTTGGGCGTTTTTATTTAAAAAATGCAGTTGAGTTTAAAATTCATGTTTCAAATTGTCAAACTCAGTTTGAAATTTGAGTAAAAAGTTAAGTTTGTTTCGAGAAATCGGGGCCAGGACCCTGCAGTGACGCAGCAAGGGTCAAAATTAATGAACGCTAATATGCTAAATGCGTTTAACAATTCATAATAGCGTTCAATTTATTAATAAAGGCTGACCTTTTTAGCTTCCCGTGTTTTTGTTGATTTAAATCAGAACAATTATGAAAATGGTCGCATAAAACATTGGAGTTTTGAGTTACTTTTCTTTATTTATTGAAGACTATTAACGAAGGATTCCGTATTTTAAATCCACAGTCAATCACATGCTTAGTAGGAGGTTTGAATTCAATGAAGGTGCTTAGCTACCGCCAAATATAAAATGACAGTGAGAAAGAAGGGGAAAGTTGTGAGGAAACGGGGATAAGTTCTTACGAATAGAAAACCGACGGCAGTCATGCCGAGAAATCCATTAAAGCAGTAGGCAGTGTAGGTGTTATGTGTCAAACTTAAGTTATTGATTTTAGAATTATTATTATGCTTTTTTTATTGAAATATCATTTAGCTTATAGCTTAAAAAAGTCACAAGCAGTCTTTTGCTTGAGGTTTAAACAGTTACATTCTAACCCAGGTGCAGAATTCCAGTCTAAGATCATTCTAGCATTGGTTAAGATCAACAATTTGTCAATCTTGTCAATCCCGTGTGATACTGGCAAACAGCTTAGACTTGCATGCAAGGCCTCCGTTTAAAACAGCAGTAAATTCAACTTGGTTATCTTTTGGAAAAGTGAGTGCACAGTAACAGCACAAACCTCTACACCAAGTGTCAAACCAGCAGCTGCGCACACATCCCGGATCTCTGCATAACTGGGGTTGTCTACCGCCTGCACGGAAACAAGATACATATTAAACATGTAATTAAACATATGATTGTGAATTCTTTGAATAATGTGGACCAAAGTTATAATTATTTGTAACTGCCAGTTGTCTGTGTTTGCCGCGATTAGGACCCCATCGCGGGGGATCGACTTATGCACGAAACATACCATTTTGACACTGATTTTAAGGGTCAAGTTTGGGGGTCTTCTTATCCATGGGGTCGTCTTATAGACGGTAATATACGGTATTACAGGGATGAGAATGAAGTTTTGGGAAAAACTCGGAAAACTAGCCGGGGTTCAGGGGGCCGCAGGACTTAGACGATTCACAAAAATTACCCTTGGCCTTATGAAATTCCCGGAATTCCGCGGAAAATTCTCATCCCTGCATATTACCAAATGGATCATAACAATGGTTTCTAATTATTTTAAATTAAGCGAGAAAATGACAGGATCCTGTTTGTGCAACACTACTGTTAAAAATTAACAATATAAATGGTCCCTAAATTCTGTCCTTGAGATGTCCTATGGTATTTAAATCTGGGAATCCCCTAAATTCCTGAACCTAGGGAGATCCCCAGAGCCCTCTTGATTTCAAATACTGGATACAAACTACCCTTGTATGTTGATGAAGAAAATCCTCTTGACTTTGGGTGGTCCTGATGCATTTGTTTATCATCACACCTTGTACTATGCCATACCAGTATTGTTTAACAATCTTAACACAGATGTTAACTGTGCACAGATTTTCAAATCCTATGTTTGTGTTAGTTTCTTGGAAGTCCAAGAAAAACAAACCTGATCCTTTGGTATTCTGCGCCCCTCCTTCAGTGACTTCCTGCTGTTGATGTAAGCTGGGTACACACATATCCACCTGCGTGCAAAGGCGAGAGCTCATTTCAACTGTCTTTCAACATGTGAATAATGAGTGAGTTAGCTAGTTTATGCCACTTTTAGCCATATGACAGCAATAACACGACAAGAGACAACACAAATGGGCTTCACATAGTACTCATGTTGAGTGACAGACATTTATAATATGAATGTTGAGGATAACCTGGGTGAATTTGTGATTACAACTTTATCTCAATCAAACCCACTACAGGTAGTGTCTTGCACTGTAATTTCACTTTAAGTTTTCGCCAAAACCTTTTTTAATGCAAGGTACAGAAGAAAATATTTTGTTTTTGTGGGTTTTTTATCACCACGGGACATGGCTGAATATTTCGTGTCGACAAGTGTCTACCTGAGAAACGCATGTGGTGGATGAAACATCTGCATCCATCTGCCATATGGCCACAAGTTCGGTTAAAATGTTGATCTGACTTGACAATTTGCTCCCAGATTTTAACCAACTTCTGCACACAGGTGCGCAGATATTGTTAGACCATTCCTACTGAAAATTACACGTACCTTTCCCTGTCTGTATGTTTGAAGTCGGGATTCCACGGACGAGCACTTGGTGCGACAGAAGGGGGCAGCCATGTTGAATTGACAACTTCCGGTTCAGGGATCAAAAAGAGGGAATGGCTACTACAACGAAACAATATAATAAATCACACGAAACAATTTTCAATTGATTTATATCTATTTAACTATCAAAATACTAAACAATATTGAAAGACATATTTTCTAGTTTATTTTCTAACGCAATGACGTAATAGTGTTAATGGTGTAAATAGACTGGTAGCCTGCCCTCAACCTCTTAACAGCAGTGTGACGAGGATCGCTAGCGCTCATGGAAGGACAAACTAGTTTGGAGCAGCAAGCAAAAAACTAGAACATATTTTTTTTCTGAACCAAGATTTATCGCCATGAATGCGGGCTATTTTCGTTTTGATCTATAAAATGCAACAGTCATGGTTTTGATGTTATCCAATCAGTTTATCATAAGATGATGTGGCTATGCTTTTAATTTGCATTGACGAACGTAAGGAAATAACAAGAAAAACGAGCAAGGTGGTGGGCTGAGAAAAGGAGGTTTTATGGGAGCGCTCAAGATTTTTTCACTCAGGGACCGTTCATAATTTATGGCTAGGGGGTGATGGTGGTTTTAAAGGGGGGTGGGTGTGTGTGTGTGTGAACCATTTTGTTCTGGGGAGGAAGGGGGCTGTGCATTGTCGAGGATGTCTCTAATTCAGTCAGGAGCATCAAGTTATTATTTTAGAGTGACTTTTACTTTTGATTTGACTTTGTAAGACAATATTCTGCTGCAATATTCTCGGAGAATTTCTTGAAAGTTCTCAGAGAATGATATTTTGAGATTGACAGTCATAATAATGTTTGTCAAACAACACTAACAACTGAAATTGTTTAATGAAATTATTATGGAAAATATCTGCGGCTGTTAAGACATCCTCGGTGCGTGGCAATCTATAACGTTGTACCACACGTGAAAATAATTTCCGAAGAATCGAGTAAAGTTTCGTATAGTGGTGCAGCTGATAGAACGATCCCAATGCAAATAAGCGGTATACGGTGATGGAGTGAAAGCAAGACGACAGTTGTAATGCATTGCTGAATTGTTTGTTGGGTTTTCCAGAAACGTCCTGGGTTCGAATCTCCGTTCTCCCTGGTTGTTTCTTGGTTTGTCAGGACAGTTAGTGACTGAGTGAGTTGGGTCTTACGCTTTCAGCAATATTCCAGCAAAATCAACTCGTGGACACCAGAAATGGGCTTCACACATTTTACCCATGAGGGGATCGAACCCGGGCCTTCGGCGTGGAGAGCGAACGCTTTAACCACTAGGCTACCCTACCACCCCTCAGGACAATTACAGTAGCACTCGTCTGTTTCATACCTATTTTAGGCAGATGGCTATAACGGCTGCCATGGATCACGCTGAAGTGAGAACAATCAGAAATCCCAGGGAATCTCGCATACCTGAGACACAGCCGAATGCACGCGACGTCGTTTCTATAAATAGACACGGAAGTTATGTGACAGAAAAAGTGAATATCCTGCTTGCATATATCCTTAAGTGATGACCACCAACCGTCTAGACTTCGACTAGATTTATTAGACAGACTAGATTCCTGACGTTCAGACAGAGTTCTTTAAAAATGCATCATTTATCATAACGTATCTAGAAATTCTGTTTGTCATTTTGGATAAAGGTGTGTGTTTACAAATAACTAAAGTGAGTTTAGTTTTACGCCGCACTCAGCAATATTCAAGCTATATGGCGGAGGTCTGTAAATAATCGAGTCTGGACCACACAATCCAGTGATCAACAGCATGAGCATCGATCTGCGCAATTGGGAACCGATGACATGTGTCAACCAAGTCAGCGAGCCTGACCACCCGATCCCGTTAGTCGCCTCTTACGACAAGCATAGTCGCCTTTTGTGGCAAGCATGGGTTGCTGAAGACCTATTCTACCCCGGATCTTCACGGGTCTCCAAATAACTGAAACATTGGTATGAATTACTCCACTATGTCAGAAAGGTTTAGCAAATGACCCAAATAACTACAGCGGAATATCTCAACTAAATGTAATGGGGAAAATACGGTGACCGGACAAAATCCACCCGGACAGAATTAAGATGTTTTCGCAAGCCTTACATATGTATTTTGGTTGTTTTTGTTATCGATTATAAATGACTGATATGAATATAATTCATTTCTGTGACTAAACATGTCATTAGGTTTTTTTTCTTAGGGTGGAATTTATTAGGGGTGGATTTTGTCCGGGTGGATTTTGTCCTAGGTTGCAATTTTGGGGTGGACTTTGTCCGGGTGGATTTTGTCCGGGTGGATTTTGTCCTGGATTCGGAAAATACATCTATTTTGGAAGCAAGGCTTAGGTTCTAGCTCGAAGTGAACGAGGCAATATGTGAGGCACAGTCGAGTTTTAGAGAAGAACATTCATCTTTTGATAATACATAATGTATATTTGTGGCACAGTCTCTGTGAGAAATATTCCAGAAAACGGTAACACCGGTTTTATGCAGCCTTCAAAGATTTTCGTAAGGCCTTTGACCTGGTTGACATATATTATTATATATATTGCAGACACGGGATGTGCATGGTAAATTATTTGATATATCACAATGCATGTACGGCCAGGTGAAAGCCTGCGTCAGAGCAGGGAACAGGATATCATCTGTGTTTGACACATCTCCCGGTGTACGACAAGGATGCATGCTTAGTCCTGCACTGTTTACCATTTTCATACGTGAACTATCGAACTCAAACAGTTAAAGGTCACATGCAACGTAAAACACAACTTTGCAGATTCTGATACCTTTCGGTATGGACTTACCGAAACAAATCATCAAAAATGCAAATTCAACTTATAAATTTGAAAAATAACGCGATGAAAAAAAACGCGCGAAAAAACGAATCACTAATTTCCCCCCAGCGCTTGGGGGAAAAGTGGTTTCAACAGCTGGGCTGCGCTCATAACACATGCGCAGTGAAATAGGTTCGCGCAGCTTGGAAGCGGTTTGTGCGGTGAATACTCGGTGAAGGCTTTGGTGTGTGCTATTTTTCCAATGTTTTGTTGATATTTCACAGGCGCGAGCTTTTTATATGTTATGACAGTAGATTACCGATTTAACTTTTTATATAATTTCATTTGTCTATTTCACAACACGTTCTTCTTACCGAGTCACTTTCTCAGTACGATACTTAAAAGCAATGTCATTATTTAGCTTTGACAGAATTTCTAACTGTGATATATATATAGATATGTCGTTGTCACAGACAAAACTCAATGTCTGTTTTATTGACACCTATGTGTCTGCCTGCCTGTCTGCTAATGACAATATTCAATACACAACTTCAATCATTGACCACATGCAAATTGAACTTAACACCTATCAGGCTATACACCATAAACAAAACGCATTGATTTATGGCCCGAGTTCGGTCTCTGTCACATCATGTAATTACACAGACAGGCAGGTGTGATACTTGTACACATGACATGTTATGGTGTCTGTTGATTGCAAAATGTTATACACAAAAATGAGCATGTATTTACAAAACCCAACATCTCTATATATACACACACAATGAGCCGTGATGCATCTGCAAATGAACCAGCCGTTACACTTGAGTGCACACCCACCCGCTCTGACTGGGTTCGGTATCCCGGCTGCTTCGTTTCTTGGGAAGTAAACCCAAGTACAAAATATTGCACTTTTGATTTGCGATTGTACGCTTATAATTTTATTTATATGTTTTTTCATAATCAACAATGTATATTATATGTCATGAATAAGTGATAATTGTGTTTTAAATATGTTTGATGTTTTGGTTACGAGGTATATTTATAACAGAAAATATTGAAGAAATCATCAGGTTAATTTTCGCTGATAATATATCATTGATTGACTCAAGTGTGGTTGGTTTATAGAGAAAACTTGATGCCCTTGATAGCTATTGTAGAAAATGGGGATATGGGGTGAATTTAGATAAGTCAAATATTATTGTGTTCAGAAATGGGGACTTCCCAAAATCAACCGAAAATGGTATCATAGGGGATCTGAAATGCAGATAGAAACTTATTATAAATATCTTGGGATTATATTTTCATGAAGACTATATGTTGGTCAATAGCATGGGAAAGATTGGCTCTCGCAAGCTAGGAAAGCCCGTTTCCCAATTCAACAGCCTTTGAGAAAATACCCAGTTATTCAGTTCAATAGGGTAACAAAGATTTTTGATTAAATTCTTTTTCCAATTTTATTGTATGGGTCCGAAATTTGGGGCTTCATGCCAAGGGACGTAATAGAAAAGTACAGGGAAATTTCTTTAAGAGATATGTAGGCGTCAGTAGAAGAGTCTCAACAAATGCCATCCTCGGCGAGACAGGCAGATACCCACTGTGTGTCAGAAAGTTTACTCGCTGTATCAAGTACTGATGTCGATTGATATCTTTGTAATCTTGTAGATACCCGAGGGCATGCTATGAAATGCTTAAGGTCTACGATGATATTTGAAAAATAAACCGGATGTCAAGGGTTAGATTATTGCTATTGTGCACTGGTTTTTCATATATCTAGACCACCCAGGACTGTGGGCATGATGGCATCAACAGTTTCAACAATGTTATAGAGATACCAAATTCCAGGACTGGCATTATAAGATTAACAATTCGCACTATCTCAGTGCATATTTTGAGTTAAAATCATTTCTAACCCCAGAAATGTACATATCTTCACTTGCTTGCAAAAAACAGTGAGTGAGTGAGTTAATATTTAACGTCACATCGGCAATATCTCAGCCGTATCGTGCAAAACATATTTTGAGAAAAATGTTATGTAAGTTTCGTTGTCATTTACATAAGCTGAATATCCAGCAGTATCGGTTTCATAAGAATTAGTGCTGGTATTGGCATACAACCTGTGCTACGATACACCACGATACTAAAACTTTAATCACGACGATATATTGCCTAAGTATTGGGCACTTAAACTGCAATACGACACGAGTCCCGATACAAGGGTGGCCTCACCTGTACTCTAAACGTACTTTACGCCATGTGGCCGCCATACATACCGAAACAAATTGTGAATTTATTTATTATTATTATAATATATATTTATATAGCGCACATATCCAAGCAACTAGTGCTTGCTCAAGGCGCTGGTATATTTTCCCTCGATGTCAATCTCAACGGCACATCGTGTTATCAATCTCAACTCCCTGGGGAGTATGCAACTCTTGCAGCCACTAGGCGCACCGAGTTATTGTGTGAATAGTGACGATATTTATATACCAGTAGTGCATCCGGCTGGATCAATGTCCGTCTTACGTCAGATTGCTTCAACATGTTTTTGGAATAATAATAAATATTTATAAAGCTCCTGTTTCCACGCACTCGTACGCTAATGCATTATTATCCCGGATAACTCAAGCTGCCTGTGAGGCGCTAGAAGGTTAATAGTCATATGACTTATCCCACCGGGTACCCATTCACAGCTGGGTGAACAGAGGCAATTCATGAACAAACTCACTTGCCTAAGGTGAGAACAGATGTGTCACGTGTGCTTTGATGGCATTCGCTCACGAATGACAGCTACGAATGAGTCGCCGAAAGTTTTGCGCAGATGTTGTGTAATTCATTACAAAGGAAATGTTGCATGTCCTGAATACAATGGCTCTGTTCAGGCTTTCATTTCACACTAGACTGGCATGTCGTATAACTGTTACACTTTCTAAAACACCATTCACTCAATCCCATTGTGCAACACAAACATGCAGGTTTGAGTCAGTGACGCCATACACTTAGAATATGGAACACTATGAGGGACATCTTCTTGCCTGGCGATTTCGCGATTTCGCAACGTCGATCTTGGGAAAAAAATACCCACGGTACGATTGTCTGGTTTATTGTTTGACGCCGTACTTAGCAATATTCCATGTATATGGCGGCGGTCTGTAAATAATCCAGTGATCATCAGCATGAACATCGATCTACGCAATTTGGTATACGATGACGTGTCAACCAGTCAGCGAGCCTGACCACCCGATCCCGTTAGTCACCTCTTACGACAAGCATGGGGTGCTGCGTCACTGGGTCAAGAAACATCCATCGGAATCCCCAAGAGCATAATTGTTTATGAACTTTTCGGACTTATCTTTTAGTGAAACCTAGAAACAGAGCACTAGTATATTTCTATGCTGCTTTCAGCTGCAGTCCCTTACATCAATGAACAGATGCGATCAGCCCAAATATAGCGTTTTATGCTAGTCAATAAAGTGATGTGATGAAAGTTCAAGGTATGCATTTAGGTAAGCATGGGTTGCTGAAGGCCCAAACGGTACGAAAATGTGAGGGGATATCGTTGTTTCAGTCCCTAAGTATTTACTCTCAAAAGTCAAGATTGCGAGAATGTCCATTACAGTGTTCCGTACTGTCACAATGACGGCGCCAAATGCATAGAAGTATTTACAACACACATGTAACGATTAAAGAATAATCGCGTGAGGTGTAGGTACAGAATCGACGAGTCGTGACGTAACGTGGGCTGACAGAATTCTCCGAGAATGGCTGCAGCATGTAGGTGACACCAGAGTGGGGAAACCACTTTCACCTATGTAGCTGACTAATCAGGATGTACATGTAGTCGGTGTTGTTGACCACGTGGCAGTATAAAACGTTGTGTGAACGGCGGAGTTGATGAGTTCAGCATTACTTCGTCATGCAGTAGACAAGTACGCTTGATTGTCCACCTTGCCACACATTGTAAAGACTTGCTATCGCTGGATTGTTGCCGTATTGTTGCCGACGTGTTATCGGATTGTTGCTGCATTATTGCCGGATCGTTGCTGCATTATTGCCAGAGCGTTATCGGATTGTTGCTGTGTTGTTGCCGGAGAGTTGTCTGATTGTTGCTGTGTTGTTGCCGTAGAAGTGTCTGATTGTTGCTGTGTTGTTGCCGTAGAAGTGTCTGATTGTTGCTGTGTTGTTGCCGGATTGTTGCTGGACTGTTGCTCGATTGCTGTCAACAGGCTGACGTTAGGACTGGTGTTTGTCAGAGAGTCTGTGAATATCAACGTCAGCATCATTTTAGTTGTGAATTTTGTACTATCTGCACGTGCGCAGGAAGAACAGGTTGCAGCAACGGGCCATGTCGGCTGTGGAAGATGAAGATGTGGAGTCGAAGGAAGCAGCGCCAGACGTTCACGACGACGGTGAAAAATCGGGGACAGCTTTGCGGTACACTCTCACAAAACCACCACCGATTATATTCACCATCGGCGCTGCCCTGCAGGTGAAGTATATTCATGTAACATACGACCGCCTCCGTGGTGTAGTGGTTAGAGCGTCCGCCCGGAGAGTGGAAGGTCGCGGGTTCGATCCCCGACCGCGTCATACCAAAAGACGTTAAAATATGGTATTTGTTGGTCCCTGCCTGGCGCTCGGCATTAATGGGTACAACAAGGACTGGTCGGCTCGGAGTCAGTATAATGTGTCTGAGTGGGGTATTCATGCTTCACTGCGGCATGGTATCTCAGTGGGCTAGCACTATAAAACCAGCTTAAGTCTGGGCTAGTACAAGCAGCCGCACATACACATACACACGCATGCACGTCGTCATATGAGCGAAATATTCTCAAGCACGACGTTAAACCCAATTTCACCTCACCTCACCTCATGTAACATACTTTAAACCAAGCTCAGGCGTGTGGTCCACTTACATCCTCTGTAGCTTTAAGGGCGGTGGGGTAGCCTAGTGGTCACAGCGTCCTCTCGTCACGCCGAAGACGAGGGTTCGATTCCCCACATTGGTCGATGTGTCAAGCCCATTGTTGGTGTCCAACGCCGTGATACTGCTGGAATATTGCTAAAAGCGGCGTAATACCATACTCACTCACTCACTCGTTTGATTAAAAGCATTCATTATTTTATATTCACAGCACACGTTGATGTGCGTTCCTTCATTTCTGGTTGGGAGTTCCCTGGCCGCTGATATCGTGGGTGCGGAACATGACAGTGTTATCAGAAGCAAGCTCTTCTCCACCATAATATTTATGTCAGGTGTCTGTACGCTGCTGCAGACGGCTCTAGGTGCCAGGTGAGTAACATTCGCTCTGTGCCTCCATCTTGTGTCTTGTCTTGGAACCGTCCCTTCTGTGCGGGTTTGTTGTTTATTTGTTGTTTCACGCAAAATATGGAATACTATAAGGGACATATTCTAGTTTGACGATTTCGCGACTTCGATCTTGGGAAAACAAATACTCATGCAGACGGTACGATTGGTTGGTTTGTTGTTTAACGCCGCACTCAGCAATATTCCAGCTATATGGCGGCGGTCTGCAAGTAATAGAGTCTGGACCAGACAATCCAGTGATAAACATCATGAGTATCGATCTACGCAACTGGATTACGATGACATGTGTCAACCAAGTCAGCAAGCCTGACCACCCGATTCCGTTCGTTAAGAGAGAGTATAGTTGATTGCAGCGCAACTAAGTTCGTTTATAACGAACAAAAGTCTGATTGTGTCATTTGTGGATTACTTGGTATTGAGGAGTTTACTGTTTTCCCAGGCTTCCGATTATCCAGGGTTTATCGGCAGCATTTCTACCTGTCTTGTTGACAGCACAGAGAAGTCCGGAGTGGACCTGCACAGGTGAGTGAGTGAGTGAGTTTAGTTTTACGCCGCACTCAGCAATATTCCAGCTATATGGAGGCGGTCTGTAAATAATCGAGTCTGGGTCCCGTTCCTCAAAGCGATCGTAGCGCTACGACTGTCGTAAGTCTATGTTAAAGTATGAGAGTTACGATCACCCTAGCGCTACGATCGCTTTGAGGAACGGGGCCCTGGACCAGACAATCCAGTGATCAACAGCATGAGCATCGATCTGCGCAACTGGGAACTGATGACATGTGTTAATGAAGCCAGCGAGCCTGACCATACGATCCCGTTAGTGGTGAGTGAGTGAGTGTGTGAATGAGCGAGCGTGCGTGCGTAGTTTGAGTCAGTGAGTGATGGGGTAGGTAGGTGGGCGGGTGATGGAGTGAGTGAGTACAATGAGTGAGACAGTAGGTGTATGAGTGAATGGTTAGAGTGGGTGGTTAGAGTGAGTGAGTGGGTGCGTGACTGTTTGTTTATTGTGTGGGTAGAGTGATTGGGTGCGTGGTTGAGTGGGGGTCAGGACAGGTGATGAGGGAAGGGGATGCTGTGTAGAGTTGGTGTATGGGGATGGTGTGCGCGCGTTGAGGTGGCCTGATGAAGAGCAGGGAATAATCCTCGTGATGTGTGTGTGTGTGTGTGCGCGTGGTTGGTGGGGGTTGGGGTGGGGTGGGTGGGTGGTTTGTCAGTACAATTAATGATTGATGCCCCCGTGGTTTCGAGTCACTGTTCCGACATGTACAGGTAGCTCCTATATCCGGGATTGCAGGGGATTGCGTGCAGTGGCAAAGAAAGTTGCATTGTATTGTCATGTTGATCTTTACACCAAAGATTGTCTTCTCTCTCGCCATTGTTTCCGAGTTTTCTTTTTCACACGATTTTTACGTATTCCTATAGACTCTTAGCGCTAAGAGAGCTTCGAAAATCTAGGACCTGGTTGACAGTACCCCCACCCCCAGCCACGATTATATCATAAAACGTTCCAATAATAATGATTATAACAATAATCATATGCAGTGTTGGGGAAAGTTCTTGGTGGGTTCGACTAGGCAGCGTTTCCTGGGAGAAGTCCCATTCGCTGTCTGGGCTGCGTGTAGAGGGGGCAAGGGCCCTGAGCTGATGATGAGCCTTACCAGCCTGACTGTGCCAGGATCACCCGAACCCTCTCTGCTGCATATTATCTTTAATCTGTAAAACATAATAATAATAACTGACACCTGATAACAACTAAACTCCTCTTTTCCAGAGAGCAGCACAAACATCAACAGCACACACAGCAACAGCACATACGTCAACATCACAGACGATACTAATTCAACCCCAGGTACTGCATCAATGGCCGACGTGCTGTCCTGTCTGACTCCCGAAGATAAACTGAGAGAGGTACGTGGATCGTATTGTCATGGCTTGGCAGAGAGTGTTTCGTTGACAGTGAGCGAGTTTAGTTTTACACCGCTTTTAGCAACATTCCAGCAATATCACGGCGGGTGACACCAGAATTGGGCTTCACACATTGTACCAAAATGGAGACCCAGTGTGTCTTCGTCGTGACGTGCGAACACTTTAACCACTTGGCTACCCTGCAGTCCCTGGCGATTGTGAAGTAGATCTCTTCATCACTACTACAACATCGCTCTTAACGGTATTTCAGTTATGCCACGTCAGCTCCAAGTTCAGGGACCCGTGAAGGTCAGAGTTATAATGAATCTTCAGCAACCCATAATGATGTCGACGAAGACGACTATGATGATGTCGACGATGGTGATGGTGATGGTGATAGTGATGGTGATGGTGATGGTGATGGTGATGGTGATGGTGATGATGATGATGATGATGATGATGATGATGATGGTGATAGTGATGGTGATGGCGATGGTGATGGTGATGGTGATGGTGATGATGATGATGATGATGATGATGATGATGATGATGATGATGATGATGGTGATGATGATGATGATGATGATGATGATGATGGTGATGATGATGATGATGGTGATGATGATGATGATGGTGATGATGATGATGATGATGGTGATGATGATGATGGTGATGATGATGATGATGGTGATGATGATGGTGATGATGATGATGATGGTGATGATGATGATGATGATGGTGATGATGATGGTGATAATGATGATGATGGTGATGATGATGATGATGATGATGATGATGATGATGATGATGGTGGTGATGATGATGGTGGTAATGGTGATGATGATGGTGATGATGATGATGATGGTGGTGATGATGATGGTGGTAATGGTGATGATGATGGTGATGATGATGATGATGGTGATGATGATGATGATGATGATGATGATGATGATGATGATGATGATGATGATGATGGTGATGATGATGATGATGATGATGATGGTGATGATGATGATGATGATGGTGATGATGATGGTGATGATGATGATGATGGTGATGATGATGATGATGATGATGATGATGATGATGATGATGATGATGGTGGTGATGATGATGGTGGTAATGGTGATGATGATGGTGATGATGATGATGATGATGATGATGATGATGATGATGATGATGATGATGATGGTGATGATGATGATGATGATGATGATGATGATGATGATGATGATGATGATGATGATGATGATGATGATGATGATGATGATGATGATGATGGGGATGATGATGATGATGGTGATGATGATGATGATGATGATGATGATGATGATGATGATGATGGTGATGATGATGATGATGATGATGATTTGACATTATGGTGACCATTATGGTGATGCAAGATTATGATGATTTTCACATGATCATTACTTCAATCTACAATTTCAGATATCTGGGAGTTTAATGGCTGCCTCGACTGTTGAGATTTTCCTTGGCGGAACAGGACTTGTTGGTCATCTCATGAAGTTTGTGGGTCCAGTGACGGTGGCCCCCACCATTGCTCTGGTGGGGCTCAGCGTGTACAAGGTTCCCATTGCCTACACCCGGTCGTCATGGGAACTGGCCTTACTGTAAGTACATAGAGATACCTTTTATCTCACACAATTTGTTTCGGAACGATCTAACAAGCGAAAAGAATGGTATCTGACAGCTCAGAGTTCAGAAATCTGTTTCTTAAAAGCCCTAAAATCTTACCATTTTAGCGTCGAATCGATTTGTCTTTTCTCCTGATCTCATAGAGGGGCGGTGGGTAGCCTAGTGGTTATAGCGTTCGCTGGTCACTCCGAAGACTTGGGTTCGATTCCCCACATGGATACAATGTGTGAAGCCCATTTCTGGTGTTCCCCGCCGTGATATTGCTGGGATATTGCTAAAAACGGCGTGAAACCCAACTCACTCACTCACTCAAGATCTCATGGCGCATGAATACATAACACAACAGTGTCACCCGGCTAACACGACTATCAACAAAAATTAAAAAAAACAACAACATAAACTTTCCACAAAGATGTAAGTGAGTTTGACCAGAGCACGACAACCATATCTGAAAATTACAACGACGAAAGTAATCCGTCACAATCCTATCTCAGGTCATGTCTTACCTTCATGTTAAAAATACTTTAATTTCATTGGTCAATGACGCTTTAGCAAGTTTCCGTGTCACCCATCCCAGAAGGGCGACAACTGGAAAAAATAGTACCCGCTGCCACGGTAACCGCCAAACTCTCCGCCGAGAAGCTGTATCGCTAACAATCGTATGACGTCATAATATAACGCATGCAGTGCACGGAGTTCGAAAACTGTTCGATTAGCTGTTTTTGACTGGTATGTACATATATATTTTACCGACTTTCACTGCTGTCTTTAACATGGCGGTAAGATAAATGCGTTCTAAACTTCTCCCTCGGGTAATACGGCGTACATCAAACCGTATTACCCTCGAGAGAAGCATACAACTTATAGCATCCTATAAAAATGTTGCTATCACTCAGGGGACAGTGTTGTCGACAACATGTATAGCCACAGAACTCTTTCCATGATTCCAAGTAACCTCTGTTGATACTGGGATGGAGGGGTAGCCTAGTTGTTAAAGCGTTCGCTCGTCACGCCGAAGACCCGGGTTCGATTCCCCACATGGGTACACTGTGTGAGGTCCATTTGTGGTGTCCCCCGTCGTGATATTGCTGGAATATTGCTAAAACCGGCGTAAAACCATGCTCACTCACACAATGACACACTCTCAAAGTAGTGACAATCCGAGCCAGGTACTTCTCTCCGACTATCATAGACATCTGTTTACGAATCACTGTCAAGTGTGGCTGGTCGTTTGTAAAGACTATTCCGGTGAACGTGTGTGTGAGACATTATGTCTTTACACAGTTTTTAGCATATTCCAGATGTATTACGGCAGTGAAGGACATGCTTAAGTGGAGTGAGTGAGTGAGTGGGTGAGTGAGTGAGGTTTAACGCCGCACATCCAATATTGCGCTATATGGCGGCGGTCTGTAAATAATCGAATCTGGACCAGACAGTCCAGTGATCAACATCATGAAAATCGATCTACGCAATTGGGATACGATGATATGTGTCAACCAAGTCAGCGAGCCTGACCACCCGATCCCGTTAGTCGCCTCTTACGACAGCCATGGGTTATTGAAGACCAATTCTTACGTTGATCTTAACGGGTCAGACAACACTTTTTTAAGTTTACACAAAGCACAAGAAATATTTTATAATATATTTCCACAGTGGCATTCTGCTGACCGTGCTGTTTACGTTGTACCTGGGGCACGTCTCTGTGCCCTTCCCCACACGTCTCTGCTGCAGGGCACAACACAGGAGGGGAAAGAGGAAGACTCATGGCGTGCGCATCTTTCAGCTACTTCCGGTACGTAGAAACAATCTTGTGATGACCAATAAACATGTGTCTGTTGTTGTGTTTGTTGTGTCTTTGTTTGTGTTTGTTGTTGTGGTTCGTGTGTCAGCTGCGTCTATTGATGTGATGTGTGCATCTGCTGTTGTGTGTGTTGTGATTGTTGTATCTGTTGTATTTGTTGTTGTGATTGTTGTATCAGTTGTATCTGTTGTATTTGTTGTTGTGATTGTTGTATCAGTTGTATCTGTTGTTGTGATTGTTGTATCAGTTGTATCTGTTGTATTTGTTGTTGTGATTGTTGTATCAGTTGTATCTGTTGTTGTGATTGTTGTATCAGTTGTATCTGTTGTTGTGATTGTTGTATCAGTTGTATCTGTTGTGTGTGTTGTGATTGTTGTGATTGTTGTATCTGTTGTTGTGATTGTTGTATCAGTTGTATCTGTTGTGTGTGTTGTGCCAGTTGTGATTGTTGTATCTGTTGTTGTGATTGTTGTATCAGTTGTATCTGTTGTGTGTGTTGTGCCAGTTGTGATTGTTGTATCTGTTGTTGTGATTGTTGTATCAGTTGTATCTGTTGTGTATGTTGTGCCAGTTGTGATTGTTGTATCTGTTGTTGTATCAGTTGTATCTGTTGTGTGTGTTGTGCCAGTTGTGATTGTTGTATCAGTTGTTGTGATTGTTGTATCAGTTGTATCTGTTGTGTGTGTTGTGATTGTTGCATCTGTTGTTGTGATTGTTGTATCAGTTGTATCTGTTGTGTGTGTTGTGCCAGTTGTGATTGTTGTATCTGTTGTTGTGATTGTTGTATCTGTTGTATCTGTTGTGTGTGTTGTGCCAGTTGTGATTGTTGTATCAGTTGTTGTGATTGTTGTATCTGTTGTGTGTGTTGTGCCAGTTGTTGTGATTGTTGTAACTGTTGTGTGTGTTGTGCCAGTTGTTGTGATTGTTGTATCTGTTGTGTGTGTTGTGCCAGTTGTTGTGATTGTTGTAACTGTTGTGTGTGTTGTGCCAGTTGTTGTGATTGTTGTAACTGTTGTGTGTGTTGTGCCAGTTGTTGTGATTGTTGTATCTGTTGTGTGTGTGTTGTGCCAGCCAGTGTTGTTGATTGTTGTTGTATCTGTTGTTGTGTGTTGTGCCAGTTGTTGTTGATTGTTGTAACTGTTGTGTGTGTTGTGCCAGTTGTTGTGATTGTTGTAACTGTTGTGTGTGTTGTGCCAGTTGTTGTGATTGTTGTATCTGTTGTGTGTGTGTTGCCATTTGTTGTGATTGTTGTAACTGTTGTGTGTTGTTGTAACAGTTGTTGTGATTGTTGTATCTGTTGTTGTGATGTTGTGCCAGTTGTTGTGATTGTTGTAACTGTTGTGTGTGTTGTGCCAGTTGTTGTGATTGTTGTATCTGTTGTGTGTGTGTTGTTGTGCCAGTTGTTGTGATTGTTGTAACTGTTGTGTGTGTTGTGCCAGTTGTTGTGATTGTTGTAACTGTTGTGTGTGTTGTGCCAGTTGTTGTGATTGTTGTAACTGTTGTGTGTGTTGTGCCAGTTGTTGTGATTGTTGTATCTGTTGTGTGTGTTGTGCCAGTTGTTGTGATTGTTGTAACTGTTGTGTGTGTTGTGCCAGTTGTTGTGATTGTTGTATCTGTTGTGTGTGTTGTGCCAGTTGTTGTGATTGTTGTATCTGTTGTGTGTGTTGTGCCAGTTGTTGTGATTGTTGTAACTGTTGTGTGTGTTGTGCCAGTTGTTGTGATTGTTGTATCTGTTGTGTGTGTTGTGCCAGTTGTTGTGATTGTTGTAACTGTTGTGTGTGTTGTGCCAGTTGTTGTGATTGTTGTAACTGTTGTTGTGTGTTGTGCCAGTTGTTGTGATTGTTGTAACTGTTGTGTGTTGTTGTGCCAGTTGTTGTGATTGTTGTATCTGTTGTGTGTGTTGTTGCCAGTTGTTGTGATTGTTGTAACTGTTGTGTGTGTTGTGCCAGTTGTTGTGATTGTTGTAACTGTTGTTATGTGTTGTGCCAGTTGTTGTGATTGTTGTAACTGTTGTTGTGTTGTTGTGCCAGTTGTTGTGATTGTTGTATCTGTTGTTGTGTTTGTTGTAACCAGTTGTTGTGATTGTTGTAACTGTTGTGTGTGTTGTGCCAGTTGTTGTGATTGTTGTAACTGTTGTGTGTGTTGTGGCAGTTGTTGTGATTGTTGCATCTGTTGTGTGTGTTGTGCCAGTTGTTGTGATTGTTGTATCTGTTGTTGTGTGTTGTGCCAGTTGTTGTGATTGTTGTAACTGTTGTGTGTGTTGTTGCCAGTTGTTGTGATTGTTGTAACTGTTGTGTGTGTTGTTGTGCCAGTTGTTGTGATTGTTGTAACTGTTGTTGTGTTGTGTTGTATCAGTTGTTGTGATTGTTGTAACTGTTGTGTGTGTTGTGCCAGTTGTTGTGATTGTTGTAACTGTTGTGTGTGTTGTGCCAGTTGTTGTGATTGTTGTATCTGTTGTGTGTGTTTGTGCCAGTTGTTGTGATTGTTGTAACTGTTGTTGTGTGTTGTGCCAGTTGTTGTGATTGTTGTAACTGTTGTTGTGTGTTGTTGTGCCAGTTGTTGTGATTGTTGTATCTGTTGTGTGTGTTGTGCCAGTTGTTGTGATTGTTGTAACTGTTGTGTGTGTTGTGCCAGTTGTTGTGATTGTTGTAACTGTTGTGTGTGTTGTGCCAGTTGTTGTGATTGTTGTAACTGTTGTGTGTGTTGTGCCAGTTGTTGTGATTGTTGTATCTGTTGTGTGTGTTGTGCCTGTTGTTGTGATTGTTGTAACTGTTGTGTGTGTTGTGCCAGTTGTTGTGATTGTTGTAAGTGTTGTTGTGATTGTTGTAACTGTTGTTGTGATTGTTGTAACTGTTGTAACGCCAGGTTCTCCTCAGCATCCTCCTGGTGTGGGCGGTGTCTGGAATCCTCACCTACACTGACGTTTTCCCGGCAGACCCCTCCAGTCCCAGGTTCAGCGCCCGGACTGATGCCAAGTCCAAGTTGATACAGCGCACACCCTGGTTTTACCTGCCTCATCCAGGTGTGGCAAAAACTCTAAAATAATCCTAACACAACCAACAGGTGGTTTGTTCTTTGTTTAACGCCACACTCACTAATATCCAGCGTTCCGTAAATAATCGAGTCTGGACCAGGCAATCCTGTGACCAATATCATGAACATGTGACATGTGTCAACCAAGGCAGCGAGCCTGACCACCCGATCCCGTTAGTCGCCTCTTACGACAAGCATGGGTTTCTGAAGATTAATTCTAACCCGAATCTTCACGGGTATAAGAGGATTTTACGTGCACTTGGTATGAAAACTGGGAAAATTTGTATCACTTTTATCAAAATTTGCATTTTTGTCAAAAATTCTTTTTGAAAATATTAAAATATTACATACAATAGTCGAAAAGTATTTCTAAGCACTAAATTTTGTGGCAATTTGGCAATTCCAGGTCCTTTGCAGCAAACTCAAGTACACATCTTTGCTGTACAAAAATCATGCGCTCTGTTTCAGGCCAGTTTGGCGTGCCATCGTTCAACATAGGACTGTTTGTGGGATTTATAGCATCGTTCCTTGCCTCCATTATTGAATCTGTCAGCGATTACTTTGCCGCTGCCAAAGCCTGTGAAGTCTCTACTCCTCCGAAACATGCCGTCGACAGGGGGATATTTATAGAAGGACTCGGGGGACTACTTTCTGGAGCCGTTGGCTTCGGCCTCTCTACGACGTCCTACACGCCGAACATTGCTGCCATGACGATGACTAAAGTATGTTCGCTTGTTTAAACAGTATTTATTCTAAATAAAGACAACACGTACATTAGAAAGACTTGTTATATAGATCGGGGCGTGGGGTAGTGGTTACAGCGTTCCCTCGTCACGCCGAAGACCCGGGTTCAATTTTCTACATGGGCGCAACGTGTGAAGTCAGTATCTGGTATTGTTGGAATATTGCTAGAAGCGGCGTATCATACAGATCATAGGTGATGATTTGGTGATTTTACGTGCGCTTTCCAACATGTGTATTTGACGCGCGGCCACAAGGGGAGGTATTTTGTCGGGTTGTTAATGGTTGCTAGTGATTTCCTGGTATTTGATTGGCTAACCATGCTTTACGTTGCCTTTATATTATCATTAAGTCACGCCCACTGACGAAACACTGTGTCTTGATTGGTTGATATTAGAATGAGCGGCGATTGTGTGTGTTATTACGATGTGCTTGTGTTTGGCGACAGTATAATATAAATCTGACGCATGTTGTGAAGTAAATGTTGACACATTGAAACATCCTTTTATCCATGAATTGACTTAAGTATGTTTTCGTTTATAAAGTTTATGACGTAAATAATCGGTGGTACTATTACGTACATGAACTACATGTATAACTAAATATCGAGTATTTTCTCGCTGCTTCAATTCATTTCTTGCTGCTTCAATTCATTTCACGCTGCTTCAATTCATTTCTTGCTGCTTCAATTCATTTCACGCTGCTTCAATTCATTTCTTGCTGCTTCAATTCATTTCTCGCTGCTTCAATTCATGTCTCGTTGCTTCAAGTATATTTTTGTCTCTTCGAGCTTCATGTATATTTTAAAAAAGGTTCTCGTTACTTCAAACATGTTCCCGTAACTTCAAGACTCTTTCAAAACCTCTAAACTTTCAAAATTTCACGTTTTTGAAAAATACTTGAAGCAATGAGAAAATAATCGAAGCAATTAATCGAAGTAACGAAAAATACCCCAAAAGCGCCTACAAAATACCCGAAGCAACGAGAAATTCCGCGTAAAATAACATTTTATGCTTCAAAAATGGCAGCTTTAGTTAAAACGAGCTCCGTTGGGTTAAAGCATAACATGTATCTGTGATGCAGACAGCCCACCGCCACATCATGTATTGTGCCGGGGCCGTGATGTTGTTGCTGTCGGTGATGGGGAAGGTGGGTGCTGCTCTGGCCACAATGCCGGACCCAGCTCTGGCAGGGGCTATCGTGGTGACCTGCGGAATGATGATCACCCTCGGGCTGTCCACGCTGCAATACGTCAACATGAATTCCTCCAGGAACCTTATCATCATTGGGATGGCACTGTTTATTGGTGTGTTCCTGCCAGCGTGGTTAGAAACCTACCCGGAAGACTTCCGTACAGGTGTGTCTCCAGTTCTAACTTTCTAATTTCCTGTGTGTGTTTAATGCTTGTCGTAGGAGGTGACTAACGGGATCGGGTGGTCAGGCTCGTTTACTTGGTGAGGTGAGGTGAGGTGAAATTGGGTTTAACGTCGTGCTTGAGAATATTTCGCTCATATGACGACGTGCATGCGTGTGTATGTATATGTGCGCCTGCTTGTACTAGCCCAGACTGAAGCTGGTTTTATAGTGCCAGCCCACTGAGATACCACGCCGCAGTGAAGCATGAATACCCCACTCAGACACATTATACTGACTCCGAGCCGACCAGTCCTTGTTGTACCCATTAATGCCGAGCGCCAGGCAGGGACCAACAAGTACCATTTTTTAACGTCTTTTGGTATGACTCGGTCGGGGAATCGAACCCGCGACCTTCCGCTCTCCAGGCCGTTTACTTGGTTGACACATGTCATCGTATGACTTGTTACGTTTATATCTCCACATGGGTTAAAAGTATAAGTCTGAATGCTGACACTCAGCTGAACTACAGCTAATGAACGACAATAACCTGGCTAATACGTTTTCCAAAGCAAAATAAACATAAAACACCTGAATCCATAATATAATCCTAATTTTTCGTGTTTGACGCTTGTATTTGAATAATGTACTTTTGTTTCAGGGGTGAAGGACCTAGATAAAATACTGACGCTAATTCTTGGAACTCCCATGCTCCTTGGTGGAACCATTGCCATATTGCTGGATAACACCACGAAAGGTAAACATTGTTATATATCTGGATTATCTATGATGATAACACCACTAAAGGTAAACATTGTTATATATCTGGATTATCTGATGATAACACCACTAAAGGTAAACAGTGTTATATATCTGGATTATCTGATGATAACACCACGAAAGGTAAACATTGTTATATATCTGGATTATCTATGATTGTTATATATCTGGATTATCTGATGATAACACCACTAAAGGTAAACATTGTTATATATCTGGATTATCTATGATGATAACACCACTAAAGGTAAACATTGTTATATATCTGGATTATCTGATGATAACACCACTAAAGGTAAACATTGTTATATATCTGTATTATCTATGATGATAACACCACTAAAGGTAAACATTGTTATATATCTGGATTATCTATGATGATAACACCACAAAAGGTAAACATTGTTATATATCTGGGTTATCTATGCTGATAACTCCACGAAAGGTAAACATTGTTATATATCTGGATTATCTATGCTGATAACACCACTAAAGGTAAACATTGTTATATATCTGGATTATCTGTTATGATAACACCACTAAAGGTAAACAGTGTTATATATCTGGATTATCTGATGATAACACCACTAAAGGTAAACATTGTTATATATCTGGATTATCTGATGATAACACCACTAAAGGTAAACAGTGTTATATATCTGGATTATCTATGATGATAACACCACTAAAGGTAAACATTGTTATATATCTGGATTATCTATGCTGATAACACCACTAAAGGTAAACAGTGTTATATATCTGGATTATCTATGATGATAACACCACTAAAGGTAAACATTGTTATATATCTGGATTATCTATGATGATAACACCACGAAAGGTAAACATTGTTATATATCTGGATTATCTATGATGATAACACCACGAAAGGTAAACATTGTTATATATCTGGATTATCTGTGATGATAACACCACTAAAGGTAAACATTGTTATATATCTGTATTATCTATGATGATAACACCACTAAAGGTAAACATTGTTATATATCTGGATTATCTATGATGATAACACCACTAAAGGTAAACATTGTTATATATCTGGATTATCTATGATGATAACACCACAAAAGGTAAACATTGTTATATATCTGGGTTATCTATGCTGATAACTCCACGAAAGGTAAACAGTGTTATATATCTGGATTATCTATGCTGATAACACAACTAAAGGTAAACATTGTTATATATCTGGATTATCTGTGATGATAACACAACTAAAGGTAAACATTGTTATATATCTGGATTATCTATGATGATAACACCACGAAAGGTAAACGTTGTTATATATCTGGATTATCTGTTATGATAACACAACTAAAGGTAAACATTGTTATATATCTGGATTATCTATGATGCTAAAACAACTAAAGGTAAACATTGTTATATATCTGGATTATCTGTGATGATAACACAACTAAAGGTAAACATTGTTATATTTCTGGATTATATATGATGTTAACACAACTAAAGGTAAACATTGTTATATATCTGGATAATCTATGATGATAACACCACAAAAGGTAAACATTGTTATATATCTGTATTATCTATGATGATAACACAACTAAAGGTAAACATTGTTATATATCTGGATTATCTATGATGATAACACCACTAAAGGTGAACACTGTTATATATCTGGATTATCTATGATGATAACACCACTAAAGGTAAACAGTGTTATATATCTGGATTATCTATGCTGATAACACCACGGAACGAAGAGATTGTTAGCAACCCACGGATGTAGAAGTTAAAATAGTCTACTCCTTATTGAATCACCTTTGAATTGATTCAGGACCGTTCCGAAATCAGTCTTACCATATTCTACAACCTTGGAACTGATCTTCAGTAACCCATGCTTGTCATAAGAGCGAGTAACGGGATTAGGTGGTCAGGCTCAATAACTAGGTTGACACATGTCATCGGTTCCCAATTGTGTAGATCGATGCAAATGCTGTTGATCACTGGATTATCTGGTCTAGACTCGATTATTAACAGACCGCCACCATATAGCTGGAATATTGCTGAGTGCGGCGTAAAATTAAACTCACTCGCTTACTTGTAGTGCTATGATTGCTTTGTGGAATGACGCCAAGATCTGGGCCCCGTTCCTCAAAGCGATCGTAGCGCTACGACAGTCATAAGTCTGTGTTAAAGTATGGGAGTTACGACTGTCGTAGCGCTATGATCGCTTTGAGGAACGGGGCCCAGGACGACTTAGGTAACGGTAATTATCAATACATTCGATGTGTTGTCCACAACAGATGTCTCACCCTTTCACCTGCACATAAAATACGCAACAGGTATACTTGTTTCGCCCAGTCATCTTTATCAATTTCATACACTATTACTTAGGCATGCGGGGAGGAGGGGTGGCCTAGTGGTTAAAGTGTTTGCACGTTCGATTCCCTACATTGGCACAATGTGTGATATTCATTTCTGGTGTTCCCTGTTGTGATAATGCTCGAATATTGCTAAAAGCGGCGTAAAACCATACTCACTCATTCACTCCACATACTCTCAAGATGAGCCTGGTGTAGCGACGTGATGTGAGGTGAGGTGAGGTGAATTTAGGTTTATCGTCGTGCTGGAGAATATTTCGCTCATATGACGACGTGCATGCGTGTGTATATGTATGTGCCGCTGCTTGTACTAGCCCAGACTTAAGCTGGTTTTATAGTGCTAGCCCTCTGAGATACCATGCCGCAGTGAAGCATGAATACCCCACTCAGACACATTATACTGACTCCGAGCCGACCAGTCCTTGTTGTACCCGTTTATGCCGAGCGCCAGGCATGGACCAACAAGTACCATATTTTAACGTCTTTTGGTATGACGCGGTCGGGGATGGAACCCGCGACCTTCCACTCTCCGGGCGGACGCTCTAACCACTACACCACGGAGGCGGTCTTGTAGCGTTGTGTTGTTCCGAGTGTTGTTCCGAGAATGTGAACCTCTGTGTTATCTGTGTGAGTTTTGTGTGATCGAGAGGTTAATATGAAACCTATTCCATCATTTTCAGGATCAAGGAAAGATCGGGGGATTGATGCCTGGCAAAATCATCTGGATACTGAAGTCCCCAGCACCAGTACAACACAGACGCCGATGGAGACGTCATCAGACAATACCTACGGGTGTTTCTGGCAAGGTAGACTGTATCAGTACCTGCCCTGCTGTTCTCGACTCCCCTTCATGCCTCCACGGTCAGGGACGGATTGTACCCCCACCCTCTTACAGTCGGGTGGGGCAGGGGACAATCCACTTCTGAAAGACTCTCTAGCGTAGTAGACCGCCTCCGTGGTGTAGTGGTTAGAGCGTACGCCCGGAGTGCGGAAGGTCGCGGGTTCGAGCCCCGACTGCGTCATACCAAAAGACGTTAAAATATGGTACTTGTTGGTCCCTGCCTGGCGCTCGGCATTAATGGGTACAAGGACTGGTTGGCTCGAAGTCAGTATAATGTGTCAGAGTGGGGTATATATGCTTCACTGCGGCATGGTATCTCAGTAGGCTAGCACTATAAAACCAGCTTCAGTCTGGGCTAGTACAAGCAGCCGCACATACACATACACACGCATGCACGTCGTAATATGAGCGAAATATTCTCCAGCGCGACGTTAAACCCAATTTCATCTCACCTCTAGCTTAGTTACCCCTCTGGGGCCAACCGTTTCATATTCTGGGGTGGAGGGAGAAATATATAAAACAAAACGAAAACAACACTTGCGCCTACCTCCAACACCACAAACTGTGTGTCCAGGTTTAGCCCGGTCCTCGTTTCCGGTTTTGTAACCAAGTGCAGGTAACTCTGCTACACCTATCAAGACGTGAACGTACAAACGACACAACTGGATGTCTCGCTTGTCTGAACAGTTATTGTGTGTGAGGAACGTTATCGACTATATGATTGTGGAACAATTTATCCATAGATGTAAGAAATTGCACTTCACTATCAAAGTTTAAATCGAGCATAATAACATCATTTAACTCAGCTCCACTGTACTTTTCTAACGGTATTAGAAAATTTAACATATTACATACTCAACTACGTCATGAAGCTAGTAGATTAAGGTACGATCTGTACAGAGTAGGGCTAATCATGTGGAAACCCATGCGAAAATGCTCATCCTTATTTCTTAGAATGTTCTTTATACAATCAACATAGAAAGATCATGCTTAAAGCTATTCAAGATGTATGTGGTAGTAATTCTGTGATTACATTATCTGTTATTTTAAACGGCATTGCAGATGTGACAAATCATAAAAATGAAATTATATTCAAAAATGTACTTCAACATATATGCAATTCTAAACGATTCCAGTAGTCTTCTCTCTATACACCTTTTGTATTATAACATTTCCCCCTGTTATCTTTCAGTCTTTGTCTGCCTCTGATTCTAATAATTGCTTGTAATGTAATTACGTATTGTAAATATCTTTGGAAAGGGGTTAAATAAGTTGAAAGAACTTGTCCCCGATCCTTTTCACATTGTGAATAAAGTATGTTTAAACTGAATTAACGTTATAAGGGCTTTAGTTCGGGATGTTCCAGTTTAAGCGCCTTTTGCATAAATGACAGATGAAAAAGTACGAAGAACTAACACGATAGGCAAACAGCTAAAAGACCATTTTCTAAAACAGGGCTAGATTTAAGAGATGTTAACCCAATTGCACAAGGTGCAACCTAAGATATAAACCTAGTTGCACCAGTCAAATTCCAGTTGCACTGCTTTTATTGCAATATGTAATATCAGAAATATGCTATTGAATTATTTAGATGTTTTATTCAGAAGTTTACCCACTCAAACCTTGACTTGCTCCTGGTGCAAGGTAGACTTATAACTAGGTTGCTCTTTGTAATATCGCCCTTCTACCACGACAGCTGCAGAGTGTGCAATTGTATGAGAAGGCTTTCCTGCTGGGTGAAGATGAATCAGTTGATTCTAATATATTAACAGGCTGAATGTGTTTTTTCTTAAAGATCAATGACGTTTGTTTTACTTTATGTATGCTTGTAGAATATTTGGGTTACGACCTATGGAATAACCTATTCTTGTGACATATGTCCATATATGTATGCAGATAGATTTGTTGTCTCGTTCCCAATAGCAAACTGCAATACAAGTTTATGCAAACGTTGTGTCCGTGTTTTCAACATCAATGAAATGTGTCATATCATGAGCACAAAGTTACCTTTTCTTGCTATGCGTAAATGTTAAAACGAAGGATTCAAGTTTTGGTAGGTAAATGTATGTTTGTAAGAGTGTGGAGCAGCGTTCGAAATAATCGCCGGCTCGGAGGCCCAGCGCCGGTTGTTATTGTATCGGGCCGTCAGTTTCAAATATCTGTAGGCCCTTGTGGCCTTCGGTAAACTATCTGTCTCTTTTTTCAACTGGAATCTTTCCCTTGTTTGATTTCTTTATTAACTTTCGGGAATCATACATGTTCCTTCATGTTACGAAAACTTACAGTTTCACTTCCTGGTATTTCAGCGCTTTGCGCATAGGAATGTCAACACCAGTCTCAAACAAATAAAAACGCCATAGATTTCGCTAACCGATTTTGTAGAAACAGTGTGAAACTGTGTACAGTGTAGTCTATTTTGTTTTTGTTAGTTTGACTTTAACAAAATGGGCCTGCAGATTTCATTCAGGGACTGTAGATGTTACAGCCTGCAGGCGGCAGCAGGCCCTGATGGCAAACTTGCAAACACTGCACACTGTGGAGGTGGGTTGACTACTTTGGGGTGAGTGGATCTCATTAGGTGGCTGGTTGAATGCATTGTATCGCAGCCTCGACCCGGAAGCGAACTAGGAGAATATAGTGCCTTGTTTAAATGGGCTGTTCTGTCTGTGCTAATTTTTTCAGGGTGATTTGTGGTAGCTTAAATGAAAGGTGAGACATTGTACTTTATTGCAAAATTCTTTTGGATCACAATCTACACAATGTATTGACACCAGCCTTCCTTGATTTGACCCCAAGTTCAAGGCTGTCTAGTGTGTTTCGGCTCGTAACTTCCCGTGACCATTGTTTACAGTGGATACAGCAAAATTGACATGGTCGATCCAGGCTCATATTTTGCTGGTTAGGTGACAAGTGACAGGTTGGTCAGCATGCAACAGGAGAACAGCCTACGACCGATATTAATTATGATGGACTGCCATGTCACTGTAGATAGCAGAGAAGGAAAATAATTGTGGTCTGAGGCCATATCAATGATGGGCGTTAACTGCTTTTAGTGGCATTTTAGAAGTTGGGAAGTACAATATAGAACAAACTTTATGGATAACAACTTCTTTTTATTCGTGAGTGCGACGTTTCGATACAGATTCTTGTACCGTTGTCAAGCATAATGGGACATGAAGAGGGGGGAAGTGTATATATACTGGATGTGACAATGTAACAAAGAAAACAACATAATTAATATAATTGGCTAGGCATCAACCCATCAACACCCGAGTGAAAGAACATCAGACCTCTGTTACCAATTCCGACAGCAAATCAGCCATTTCCGACCACATCAAAGCAAGCCCCAATCATCAAATAGAGTGGTCTGACATCACCATTCTCCCTAACAAACAAACAGACTTCACTAAACGCAAGCTCACCGAAGCCATCCACATCAAACGCCAAAAGCCCACCATCAACCGAGACCAAGGATACTTCATGCCATCCGCTTATGATGCACTCATCCACCAAGCCCAACCCACTGTATAAACTCACTGCTGTATAAACATGTCATTATTATTTGTACATCATTGGCTTCTACGCCTGTCCTTTGTCTACTCTCTGGCTTCATCAGCTTTCTGCCTAGCCAATTATGTTAATTATGTTGTTTTCTTTGTTACATTGTTACATCCAGTATATATACACTTCCCCCCTCTTCATGTCCCATTATGCTTGACAACGGTACAAGAATCTGTATCGAAACGTCGCACTCACGAATAAAAAGAAGTTATTATCCATAAAGTTTGTTCTATATTGAGCGTTAACTGGTGGTGTTTATAGAGAATACTACACGAGGTCTCATTACATACGAATTATACGAAACGAGTGTCCTTCCTAACATAGGAAGGTCACGAGTTTCGTATAATTCGTATGTAGTGAGACCGAGTGTGGTATTTTATTTATTACCCACGTCTTACATGCATTAAATTGACAAAATAGTGTATTTTTGTTAATATTTTGGTTTCAAACCGAAACCGGTTTCATAAAGAGGTTGCGGAAGAGTTTTGTCCTGTAGTACAATATTTGCATGACGCCATACTCTAATGACGTCACTGCCTTGGTAACCGACGTCACGATTCATGTCAGTTGTCATCGCCTCGTACAGCCTCCTACAGTAGACTACTCCGTAGCACCCCGTTTCTTGGTTTGCAGTTGCTTCATTCGGCTAACATCACTGGTGGAAACATTGCGTTTACGTTTTTTGACGGATATCATGTCTCAGTTCGACTCACAATTAAACAGCTACACGGCAACGTTCGCGATGTTTACATTCCCACAATGCATTTAAGTTGTAGAATGAATGGATTCACGTGTTTGTTATGAATGAAAAAATAGTTACGTCAGAATGTGACCTAACTGAGAGGTCATCGGTTATCCAATCAAATCGTTAGAATCTCAGGTCAAGTCGTTACGACACAGGTCAACGCGATACGACACTCGTGTGACGTACGAGATTAGTATGCAGCTACCCATACGTTGACCACGTGGGTAATAAAAGGAAATACCGCACTGACACTATTACAGGCGAAGCCAACAAGACAATCCTAGAACCATAACCAGTGTATGTCTGAGATTCGGACACCCTTTTCCTTCAAGTCATAGATTCACACATGTACATTTGACATTGCCTTTGTGTTGCCGATCTCATGAAGAAATAACACCAGTGACAAATGAGTGAGTGAGTTTAGTTTTACGCCGCACTCAGCAATATTCCACCTATATGGCGGCGGTCTGTAAATAATCGAGTCTGGACCAGACAATCCAGTGATCAACAGCATGGGCCTGACCACCCGATCCCGTTACGACAAGCATAGTCGCCTTTTCTGGCAAGCATGGGTTGCTGAAGACCTATTCTACCCCGGATCTGCACGGGTCAGTGACAAATGAACATGAAAGGAATCAGTACATTTTTTTATCATGACATTGCTTAGTGTTTTAGAGAAAGTGGATTCCAGTTGATGTGAGTGTTTATTTAGTAAAGCTTAATAGAGCTGCAAGTGCCACGCCCAACAACACTTCCAATGAAACGGAGATTCTGCTTCCGTGGTTTGGACAGACGTAAACCACCCTCTCTGTCGTCGCTGAAACAGAAAATAACATGTGATCTATCTCTGATTGTGACGTCATCATTCACACATGACCATCTTGCCCATCGTTGAAGGTAATACGGGAGTCTAGAGGTACCGCACTCAGTTACAGTGATGGCTACCCGTGAAGATCCGGGTTAGAATTGATCTTCAGTAACCCATGCTTGTCGTTATTAAGAGGACTAACGGGTTCGGGTGGTCAGGCTCGCTTGACTTAGTTGACACATGTCACTGACCACCGACATATATTGCTGAGTGACAACAAACAAACAAATGTGTGTCCCCCGTCTTGATACGGCTGAAATATTGCTGAAAACCGTTCACTCACTCACTTACTCACCATCCAACTCACTCACGCATTCACGCACTCACTGACTCATCTTGTAATTCACTTACACATGCACTCACTCACCATCCAACTCACTCACACATGCACTCACGCTTGCATGCAATCACCACCCAACCCACTCACGCATAGGATCACACAACCAATCCAACTCACTCACTCACTCACTCACGTGACAATTCTATGCGTGATGCTATGGGTGACTTACTTCCAGGAGGCGTCTCCTCGTTCTCGAGAATCAGTGGCACCATTGTGTCCCAGAACACACACTGCTGCTTCCTCACTCACTCACTCACTCACTCACTCACTCACTCACTCACTCACTCATTAACGTAACAAATCCACATGTGATGCTATGGGTGACGTACTTCCAGGAGGCGTCTCCTCGTTCTCGAGAATCAGTGGCACCATTGTGTCCCAGAACACACACTGCTGCTTCCTCACTCACTCACTCACTCACTCACTCACGTGACAAATCCACGTGTGATGCTATGGGTGACTTACTTCCAGGAGGCGTCTCCTCGTTCTCGAGAATCAGTGGCACCATTGTGTCCCAGAACACACACTGCTGTTTCCTCACTCACTCACTCACTCACTCACTCACGTAACAAATCCACATGTGATGCTATGGGTGACGTACTTCCAGGAAGCGTCTCCTCGTTCTTGAGAATCAGTGGCACCAGAGTGTCTCAGAACACACACTGCTGCTTCTTCACTCACTCACTCACTCACCCACTCACTCACTCACTCACGTGACAAATCCACGTGTGATGCTATGGGTGACTTACTTCCAGGAAGCGCCTCCATGTTCTCGAGAATCAGTGGCACCAGAGTGTCCCAGAACACACACTGCTGTTTCCTCACGCCCTGACTGGTGCGCTGCCCTGCATCCGTGAAGACAAGGTAGGTTTCATCATCTGTGGTGTACCTTGGCCACTGGAAGCCGGGCGTCTCCGGTAGGTTAGGGTTCCTGTCAAATTGACGGCGAAAAACGTTTAACATTAACAGATTCGGTTTCTTCTCAATATTTGTTTGTAAGGATTTTACTGTTGATAACAGAAGTTACTACATGCACAAATACTTCTAGTGAGTGAGTGAGTTTAGTTTTACGCCGCACTCAGCAATAGTCCAGCTATATGGCGGCGGTCTGTAAATAATCGAGTCTGAACCAGACAATCCAGTGATCAACATGATCATCGATCTACACAATTGGGATACGATGACATGTGTCAACCAAGTCAGCGAGCCTGACCACCTGATCCCGTTGGTCGCCTCTTACGACAAGCATGGGTTACTGAAGATCTATTCAAACCTGGACCATGACGGGTGACAAATACTTGTATGTGTCAATATTCACCAACGTATTGACAATTACATTGTGTTTAATAATTATATCATACGAAATAGGATTGGTTGTTATTTTAACGCCGCACTCAGCAATAGTCCAGCTATGTTGAGGCCGTCTGTAAATAATCGAGTCTGAACCAGACAATCCAGTGATCAACAGCATTGGAATCGATGACATGTGTCAACTAAGTCAGCGAGCCTGACTACCCGATCCAGTTAGTCGCCTCTTACGACAAGCATGGGTGACTGAAGACCAATTCTAATTAATCATTTGTTATTTACCCGTAAGAGCAAATATTAAACTAGCCATACTAGCAATAATAATAATAATACATTACAGCTGAGTTTGGACAAACGACTCATTCACAATCAAATTTTACTCCAACTGAAAAATACAAGGTATTTTCACCTATGATATGATATGATATATATTTATTCAGTATTTCGGCCTCATAGCCTAGAATACAATTGTATTTGATAGAACACATGTCACGTGGTGAACAATACAGCAATATTTCTATTTCCATTTACCTCTCAATAGAAACACATTTTTAAGGAAAATGGCGAGTGCTCGTAAACTATCCTCATTATTTGTATTTAATATATTACACAAAAGTTTCACTGAATATTGCTTAATATTAGATAGGTTTGGGAAATATTTTAATCTCAGGTCATGATACTTTATACAAATAAACAGGACGTGGAACTCGTCCTCCATAACGTTAAGATCACATTGCAAACAGTGATTTATATACATGTTCATTTTTGTTTCTACGTAAGTGATTAATATTAAAATCATGAAGAGCTATTCTAAATTTACATAAGGCTCTTAGCAAAGACCTATCCGAGAGACACAAAAAATATTTTTCAGGCTGCAACAAAGTCTTAATGCTACTATAATTACTTAAATAGTGCGAAGATGATATAAAACTATGCCAATTTTGGCAATCAATATCTTTCAACCGTTGTTTGAATATAATTGTAAACAATATAGAATCACCCACACTTTGTGATAACCAAACGTGGGTAAAACCTGTGTAAAATAGCAAATTTCTGAGAGTTTTGACACCCAGTTTTGCTTTCCAGCATCATCTATTTTGTTTAACATAATATAGCATTGGTATTGCTATCTAGAACAATTCATATGAAGTATTTTTATCCAGTATTTTATAACCCTTATCTGTGTTGACACAAACATCGTGTGGCGCCCTGGTTCGCCAAGTATAGCCTGATTGGATGCGAATTTGCCAACCTGTAAGAAACGTTTCAGATACTGTGTGTGAACTTTTTCTAAAACTTCAAAGTATCTTGTCCCCCATATTTCAGACCCATACAGTAAAATTGGTCAAACTTTGCTATCAAATATTTTACAAGCCGCTAGAAAGGATATACAACTATTTTTTCGAAATAATGTGAACAGAGGCATCATTGCACGTGAAGCTTGAGCTGCTAGTGTTTGGCATGCTTTTGCCCAATTTAACGTTGATGAAAATACAATACCTACATACTTATAATATGGAATAATTTTGAGATTTATGTTGTTTAGAACCCAGCTTTCACGTTTAGCAACAATGCCTCCATTTCTGAATACAATAACATTGGTTTTATCGTAATTGACTTGAAATCCCCATCTTTCACAGGAATATTGGAGCACATTTAATTGCTTTTGCAACCCTGAGACAGTATCAGAGAACAGTGTAACATCATCGGCAAACACAAGTAGCATTATATCATAAATATTGTGTGTAACAAATATACCGTGATCACATTTATCATACATTTCAGTCACAAGCTCATTTATGAAAAACCTATTTAACACTATTGAGATCTTTGTTCCTCTTCAGAATATTTTCACAAGATTAATAATGCTTTTATACACAGTGTGAAGCATCACAGACAAATGAACTTAATTCATTACAAAACGTTTACCTTTTCAAGCATTTGAAGGGGATTTAGAAGTGACTGACTGACTGACTGAGTTTGGTTTTACGCCGCTTTTAGCAATATTCCAGCTTCATCACGGCGGGGGACAACAGAAATGGGCTTCACACATTGTACCCATGTGGGGATTCGAATCCGGGTTTTCGGCGTGACGAGCCAACGCTTTAACCACTAGGCTACCCCACTGCCCCCATTTAGACGTGATTCACAACCAAGTTGAAACATTATTTGTTATGAATGAGGAAGTTGAGTTTTACACCGCTTTCAGCAACATTCCATCAATATCAGGGCGGGGGACACCAGAAATTGGCTTTAAACATTTGACCCATATTGGGAATCGAACCCGGGTCTTCGGCGTGACGAGCAAACAGTTTAACCACTAGGCTACCCCACCGCCCCTCTTTGTACAGAACGTTTCTTACTACTTTCTCAAATATACTCCCAAACGTCATGTTCCTCATAACAAAATAAGTTGACATCCACACATTTTCATTTTATCCATCTTTTCAATCCCTGATTTAATTTCAACATTTTAAGGTACTTACCCAGTTTTAGCAAAATTCGCCCAGTATGTCATCATGCTCCGACTTGTTATTTTTTCCGCCTCTGAAGCTGTGAAATCATTCCCGAGAGGAAGGCCAAACACCATCTCTATCTCAGCCGAATGAAAAGTTCCCATCCATGCCGGTGCAACCAAAGCGCCGAGCCGGTGGTCGAAGGAGTAGAAGTACACGTCGTCCGCTGCTGCGTAGAAGTCCGCCAGTTTGGCTGCTGGACATTTGAAGTAGCTGTCTCCCAGGATGTCGTCCGTAGTTTCAACGTAGTCTTTACGTAGAGAAGGAACTTGAACTTCATCGTATTGAGCCATGATTGCCTTGACTATTGTCGATGGCAGGCCATTTAGTGCCGCGTACGATCTCATTGCTACCAGGAATTGTGTCCTGCTCACGTTTAATCGATCTGATAGTGTAAATATCGTTGGCAGAGAGACTGGAAGAAATAGAGTACCTTCATTCCTGTTGACACCTATTAAGAGTTCAGTTTTCTTCATTTGACCTTTTTCTACAAGAGATATTGGAGTGTCTGGTAAGAAGAAACCGTCAACGACAGGAGCGAAAGCTATCCCTCCAATGCCAAAGACCTGTGCCTGGTAATTTAGAACAGTTCCTGGAGGAAGGTCTTTGATGCAATGGTAAATATCAGCATCAGATCTGGCAGAGCAGTTGGCTAACATCGCAAGTCTTCTGGCGCTGCCAACAGCAGCTGACGGTTCCTGTGCTGCCCATACTGGAAGAGGGGATCCGCTTTGTAGAATGGCACGGGTGAAGAGGTCACGTGATTTGGGGGATAACAACAGATGTCCAACTGATGCTGCCCCGGCGCTTTCTCCAAATATGGTAATCCTGTTTGCATCTCCGCCGAATCTCTCAACATTGTCTCGAATCCACTGCAAGGCAAGAGTCTGGTCCATGAGTCCCTGGTTGCCTGGAAACGTGTCAGGGCTGAGGTACAAAAATCCATGCGCTCCTACACGGTAGTTTATGGACATTACGATGACGTTCTTCTCGGCGGCAAGATACTTGCCGGCATACAATGGCATGTTGATGGAGCCGAATGTGAAGGAACCACCATAGATCCATACCATGGTTGCGAGGTTGGTATTTGTTGGTATGCTGGCTGGTGCCCATACATTGATGTAGAGACAATCCTCGCTGAAAGTCGGCGGGGTCGTCCTCCAGGACATGCCATTTGGAGCCGGCGTTGGTTGTTGACATGAAGGTTTCAGCGATTGGGCGTTCTTGACCTCCGGTCGCCAGGGTTCAATGGGTTGTGGGTGCTTAAACCTAAGGTCTCCTATTGGTGGTTTGGCGAAAGGTATGCCATAGTAGGTATCGATGGATTTCCCGAGGACGGCAGTTCGCAGACCTGTGACTCTGCCATGCGTAGTGTCAACTTCCTGTCCGGAGACTCTGTTTCCGGTAGTGACGATAACAGCAACCAGACCGAAGATAAGCGAAGGTGTCATGATTTATCTGAAAACAGTTACCGATAAGTATCACATTCACTGACCTATGCTAAACATATATAGTCAAATACTGTTGTGTCGAACCTTGATGTACCGATAATTATCACATTCACTGACCCATACTAAACATATATAGTCAAATACTGTTGTGTCGAACCTGGATGTAGCGATAAGTATCACGTTCACTGACCCATACTAAACATATATAGTCAAATACTGTTGTGTCGAACCTGGATGTACCGATAAGTATCACGTTCACTGACCCATACTAAACATATATAGTCAAATACTGTTGTGTCGAACCTTGATGTACCGATAATTATCACATTCACTGACCCATACTAAACATATATAGTCAAATACTGTTGTGTCGAACCTGGATGTAGCGATAAGTATCACGTTCACTGACCCATACTAAACATATATAGTCAAATACTGTTGTGTCGAACCTGGATGTACCGATAAGTATCACGTTCACTGACCCATACTAAACATATATAGTCAAATACTGTTGTGTCGAACCTGGATGTATCGAACGTACAGCTGTCTCGAAGTAAAGTAAAAGTTTGCTCCGACGTATTCCTTAATCATAAGTTGTGTCGAGCTTCGGATAGTAATAGTAATAGTAGTAATAATCCACTTGTAATTCGCTCATATCCAGGCACATTACCTGCTCACAGCGCTACGTACATTACTTTCACCCGGTCATAGGACACTATCGTACTTTCTGATACTTTTTCAACTCCCTGGGGAGCATACAGCCATGCTGCCTGTTAGGCGCAATGAACTAAACACTCACATTGCCAGCACATCCCCACGGGTACCCATTTTACAGCTGGGTGAACTGAGACAATGTGGATCTAAGTATCTTGTCCAAGGATACTACGCAAATGTGCCCACCTCGGGACCCCAACATAGTCGAACCCGGGCCTTCCGCGTGATAGGCAGACACATTACCACTGCAATACTACACTGCACTACTACGATACACCGAAATATTTATGTAGGTCAAGTCGACTTCGACATAGCAGTGTTTGACTGTATATCATCCACGCCATGTATCACGGGGACAGCCTGTGTAGCACAGTGGACAGACCGTCTGCTCGGAGAATGGAAGGTCAGGTGTTCGATACACTGCCGTGTCATAGCAAAGACAGCAAACCATGATACTTGTTTTTACCATGTCTGGCTTTTGGCACAAATCAAACGCACAAACAAAAACGCGCACGCACACGCACACGCACACGCACACACACACACACACACACACACACACACCACCACCACCACCACCACCAACAACAACAACAAAACAAAAAACACCAAAAAAACCACATATATAACACAGCACACAACAACACACACAGTACACACGACACACAACACCCAACAACGCACACAGCACACACACAAAACCCAACAAAACCGATACATACCACACACACACACACACACACGACACCAGCACACACGACACACAACACACATAACAACGCACACAGCACACACACAAAACCCATACATACCACACACCCCACACACGACACACACACAGCACACACACAAACCCCCCAAAAAACCATAATACCACACACCCCACACACGACCACACACACACGAACACAAAACAACAACAACAACAACACTTCACCTCTCTTCACACCTCGATTTATTTGGTCCACACTCGATTATTTACAGACCGCCACCATATAGCTGGAACATTGCCATGCGCGCCATTAAACAAAAAACCATCCAGCCAATCATACCCCGAAATTATTCCTGGATTCAGACGCCCTGCTGTAGAAAATGGTCAATGTGATGACGTCTCATGTTGTGAAGCTAGTGTTTGTTTGTCAGTAGCGTACACAAACAAATTCCAGCAAATTTTATGTAAACATGCATTTGTAAACTATCGTTTCTTGTTTGTTTTTCTATTTTGTTTGTTTGTAGTGTAACGATGCACTCAGAAATATTCCGGTGTATGAAATATTCCATTCTGACCCGACCATCTAGTGACACCATGAACATCGATGTTGAGATACGACGCCATGCATCAACCCAGTCAGCGAGCCTGACCACCCGATCCCGTTAGTCGCCTCTCATCACCCTCATGGGCAGCTGGGACATTCAGTCAAGAAACATCCAACAGAATCCATAAGAGCATAATTGTTTATGAACTGTTCAGACTTATCTTAAGTGAAACCTAGAAACAGAGCACTAGTACATTTCTATGCTGCTTTCAGCTGAAGTCCCTTACTGACTGACTGACTGAGTTTGGTTTTACGCCGATTTTAGCAATATTCCAGCAACATCACGGCGGGGGACACCAGAAATGGGCTTCACACATTGTACCCATGTGGGGATTCGAACCCGGGTCTTCGGCGTGACGAGCCAACGCTTTAACCATTAGGCTACCCCACCACCCTGAAGTCCCTTACATTAACAACCAACCAACCAAGCCTTACATCATTGAACAGATGCGATCAGGTAAAATATGGCGTCTTATGCTAATCCCCAAAGTGATGTGTTGAAAGTTCAAGGTATACATGTTAAATTTCAAGGTATGAATGTTAAAAAGTTTAAGGTATGCATTTTCAAATTACAAGGTATGCAAGTTCAAAACAAGGTATGCATTTTCAAAATTCAAGGTATGCATGTTCAAATTTCAAGGTATGCATGTTCAAATTTTAAGGTATGCATGTTCAAATTTCAAGGTATGCAAGTTCAAAATTCAAGGTATGCATTTTCAAATTCAAGGTATGAATGTTCAAATTTTAAGGTATGCCTGTTCAAATTTTAAGGTATGCATGGCCTCACAAAACGTACACTGGTTGAATGCATTCAGAACTAGGTAATTATCTCTCGGCCCGTGAACCCCACATACCTTTACCCTTACCCCGAACCTCTATCTGTCCCCTTCTATGATTGCACAATTCGTACTACGCGATCAATAATTTGCTCCCGGGGCAAATACAAACCCACCGGCTTGCCACCTCGTACATTTACATTACAACCCTTTGATCAACAAGGCACGTGTTGTCTGTTCAAATATGATCTGAGTGCATAGTCACGGGGCGCTATTGAATGTTTCAGTGTAACTGCTCCGGCGCCCCTTGTGCCTTTCTTGTACGACCTAAGCTGCCAATTTTTTACATTTCAGTGGCGTTCTTTGAACATCCTAGGCGTCCTCTCTGCCTTCCCTGTACCATCATATGCAAATAACGGCGTCCGTTCAGAAATGCTTCTGCGTTCTCGACGACCGTTGTGCCTTCCTTGTGCATTCATTGGCGTTCACTCTGTCTTCTCTCTGCGATCTGTGGCGTCTGTTTGGCACCCTGCATACTCTAGGTATATAAGTACCTGGCTACGACATTTTATCATTAGTTTCATACGAGCAGGCTAAGTGAAATCATCGTATAATGACTTCAGTAAGCATGAACAATGAACTGCGTTTGCAAATAGCTATTTTGCAAGGTCAACAGACATTGTTTTTCAACCTCATAGCCATTGCCATCTTAAATAGAAGGATGAATAGACGTAGAAGAAGAAGATTGAGAACCCTGTGGGTCCGCCCATTGTTGACGCAACACAGACGGTTGCGGTTCGGGGACTACAACCAACTAATACAAGAACTGCGTCTAGAAGATGAAGGGTCATTCTACAATAATCTGAGAATGGAGCTAGCCCTTTTGACTAACTCCTCCCTCGGGTTGGCCCAAGAATCCCCAAACGAACAGGCGAGCGAGTTTAGAGCCTGGTCTGAAACTTGCCGTAACCCTTAGGTTCCTTGCAACTGGGGACAAATACCCAAGCCTCCAGTACCAGTATCGTGTGTCACGCGGCACGATCTCCATTTATGTGCCTGAAGTTTGCAGAGCTATCAGAGATGAATATAAGAATGAAGTTGTCAAATGCCCAAGGAACTCCCAAGAGTGGAAAGCTGTTGCACATGACTTTCAGAGACGTTGGAACTTACCCCATGCATGTGGAGCCATTGATGGGAAACATATAGCCGTGCGTTGTCCACCAAACACAGGTAGTCTCTACCACAACTATAAGGGATTTTTCTCTCTTGTCCTTCTTGCATTAGTGGATGCTAATTATAAATTTTTATGGTGTGATGTTGGTGGTGTTAGACAGCCAGATTTTCAATGAACCTGAACTGAAGACCTGCCTCGAAGATGGCACCATAAACTTTTCAACTCCTGAGTCATTGCCGAATGATGACCGTGACACACCATTCTTCCTACTCGGGGATGATGTATTTGCCCTCAGAACCCACATGATGAAGCCATATTCAATCAGGGCACTCACCAAGGAGCAACGGATCTTCAACTATCGTACCTCTCGTGGAAGAAGAGTAGTTGAAAATGCGTTTGGCATTGTGGCTCAGCGATTTCAAGTTCTACTTTCAACGATGCAGCTGATGCCTAATTCAGTCCAGGATGTGATTGAAGCATGTAATTGTCTTCACAATATAATGCGAGGTCCGATATCCAACGTTACAGAATGCTGCACGATACCCACGACCTCATACCTGGAGAATGGAGACAACAAGCAAATATGCATGATGTTGCACAAGTAGTTGGACCAAACCGAGACACACGAGGAGGAAAACAGCTGTGAGAGTATCTGAAGTTGTACTTCAACAATGCAGCTGGATCGGTTCCATGGCAGGACCGTATGATTTGAAGTGGTGTGTATGGAACTGAATTGCTATGCGGATGGAATTGTTTGATGATGTTCATATTGCTATCATTACTCTACATTAGTCTTATATGTATGAGTTCATTATGGATATCTGTATTTCCAAATAAAGTATCAATGCGTGCATATTGTTTGTCTTCAATTTTGTTCATATCTTTAAAAAAAAACATTGTCAGCAGTAACATTTTCCTGTTGGCCAATGTTTTCGGTAATTTTTGAGGCACTCTTTTAGGTTTTGGCATTTCGTCTAGTAGCATACCTTCTTGGAGGCATGGTGAGACGTCTGATCGCAAGCTCGGCAGTTCTCAAATACCGTGGAAATCGGCAGTACAAGACCTATTTATATGTAATCTGGAAAGGCAGAGTAAAGGCAGAGCGAACGCCGTGGTTGTTCAAAGGGATGCGCTAGTCGCTGAATGAAGGCAGAGTGCATGCTCAACGAACGTCAATGGATGCTCGACGGACGCATAATGTGGCGTCCGTTCGCCGACCGTTGTGCCTTCACTCTGCGACCTCGGCGATTGCTCTGCCTTCGCTCTGCCTTCCCTCTGCCTTCCCTCTGCGTCCTGTTTTCAATCCACCATGACGGCGACCGCTCTGCGTTTGTTTTGAGCATGTTCAATACAGTCGCCACTACAGTGGCGTTCTGAGCCGTTCTTGGCGTTGGCTCGGCCTTCTTTCTGCCTTCATGGCGATGGCTCTGCCTTCTCTCTGCGTTTGTCGTGCCTCCTTTCAGCGTATGTCAAGTTCGCTGGAAAACTAGCCAGCTCGCCCACCGCGCCCCCATCTATATCATGGGTGACAGTAAGGTTACGTTTGTAACGTCACGGTGTTTTTGACGTCATAGTTAGAAACTATAGTGGTGGACGTGTAACGTCATACGCATGATGACGACATAGCTATTACCGTTATGTGTCGCCTGTGACGACACTCAGCTTTCATTGCACACCTGAAGAGCCGTCGAACGGCGAAAGATCTTGTGCAGATATAAAGGAGATTTTGAAAGAAGAAATATCTGGACTCATATTTTATATATTTATTGCTTATACACCTTATAAACATATGCAAAACATACATACATACATACATACATACATACATACATACATACATACATACATACATACATACATACATACATACATACATACATACATACATACATACATACATACATACACACACACACACACACACACACACACACACTACCTACCTACCTGCATACATACATAAACATACACACACACACACACACACCTACCTACCTACCTACCTACCTACCTACCTACCTACCTACCTACACCTACCTACCTACATACCTACCTACCTACATACATACATACACACACACACCTACCTACCTGCATACATACATAAATACATACACACACACACACACTACTACCTACCTACCTACCTACCTACATACATATACCTACCTACCTACCTACCTACCTACCTACCTACCTACCTACCTACCTACATACATACATACATACATACATACATACATACATACATAATAGCACCACAGACAAATCTGTTTTGTGGTGGCTAATATCTGCTAAACTCAAATAAATATGAAAAAACAATGTGTAAAAACTTAGCACAACCTTACAGACATCGATTTACCCGTTGGTTAAACATATTGAATGGAAAATGGTCATGTAGTACAAAGCGCTGTGTAATGATAATAACAAACAGACATTTAAAATGCAAAAAAATAAACCTACCTTAATATTTCATTTACGAGTGCCAGAATACATGTATGGCGACACACCCATTCAAGATGGCCATAGATCTAATGTATGTGCACAGATCTGAACTGCGGTACATTGAACTCGACACGTGACTGAAGTGTAGAACTTTAGGGCCGTACCGCCTCGTGCTATTTACATATACACAAGTATTACCAAGCTGAATTGCGACTGGTTTGTAGTCTACTAAGGAGACGCCAGTGGCCTACTTCTAGGAACGTTGCCTGACGGTGTTGACATCACACAAACTGACTTTGGTCGTAGAAATTAAAATAAAGCTATTTTGGGAACTGACGTGATTCTTTGGTGGAGCTGGCTAAACTGCCCCACCTTGGCTTCTTATTTGTTTGTTTGTTTGTTTGTGTGTTTGTTTGTTTGTTTGTTTCTTTGAAGATGAACTCAGGATACTGTTACTTGAGCGTAAGTAATCGAATCTACACCACATAACGAGTGATTGATATGACGAGCAACGATACAAGCTGTCTGGCAATCAACCAAGTCCCTGTCCGGGTTAGAATGAACCTTCAGTAACCCATGCTTGTCGTAAGAGGCCACTAACCGGATCGGGTGGTCAGGCTCACTGGCTTGGTTGACACATGTCATCGGTTCCCAATTACGCAGATCGATGATCATGCTGTTGATCACTGGATTGTCTGGTCCAGACACGATTATTTACAGACCGCCGCCATATAGCTGGAATATTGCTGAGTGCGGCGTAAAACTAAACTCACTCACTCACACACTGAGACTAACAATTCGATCCATTACGTTGCTCCTCACGACCAGACCGGGTTTCTTGAAAAGGATAAAATCCCGTTCAATCCTCAGATCTCTAGGTGGTATTTATGTCAATAATTAAACTGTTTCTAAAGTAAAACCTCGTAAACACGCACGGGTCATTCGATCTCGCCAGGACCACGGGTTCAAACCAGGTACAGCGGACCCTCTAGCTCAATGTTCGTGCTATTAACACTCTTCTCAATAAGAAGAGAGGAAAATTCAAATTTGAGGCAAAGTGCGCGTCGGGTCGAAAATGTATTTTCATGACAATTAAAACCAAACTTAATGATTATTTTAATGATATTTATTGTTGACAATATTAAAGTTGTTTAGCAGTATTTTTCACTTTTCAGTGCTACGTGTGTATAGTGTGTACCATTACAATGGGGCTCAGATAATGTTCTGTTGCTTAAGTTGACAACAACATAATGTGCTCCACGATCTGTGGGAGCAATAAAATATTTTTCTTGAAGTACCATCGTCTGTTCTTAAACTGTGTTTCCATTGCCGCTGAGAATTTTTTTAATTCATTGGTTTTTTCGTTCGTTCTTTCGTCCGTTCTTTCGTTGGTTGATTGATTGATTGATTGGTTGGTTGGTTGATTGGTTGGTTGATTGGTTGGTTGGTTGATTGGTTGGTTGGTTGGTTGGCTGTCTGGCTGGCTGGCTGGCTGACTGACTGATTCTGACTGACTGATTGATTGATTGATTGATTGATTGAAACATAAAACCATACTGAACAAAGTGTATCCAAAAATATTAAGCTACGATTGGGAAATTTAAAGAAATTTAAAATGAAACATTTTCCCGGGTTGTGAAATGAACCTCTTTCTTACTGTGTAAAACTAAACTCAATCACTCACTCTCAAAATCAAATAAGGTCGCATGCTGAGTTAAGGACATTGGTTAATGGGTTGAGAAATTAATCTCTTTCCACTAACAATCTCAAACAAGGTCATACGCCGAGATAGGGTCATTGGCTAATCCTTTCTTTCCTCGTCAAAACTGAACCCCAACTTGACGGAGATATCTTTACATACTCTCCCCGGGTACATTATTCACCAGATAGAATGTTTACCTTAGCGTCTCCTCAAACACCCACGTGGCCCCGAGTTTATTCATTGGTCCTCGTTCCAACCGTTTACACAACACGTATAGAAAAACTGAAAGCTTCGGGTTCCATCTAAGTTTGTATTCGTTGAAAGGTCAGGTCTTTAATAGAAAAAGCGTTTTCCAGTACAAGTGCCCGTGTGGGGGAATACAGACTATTAGTTTAACATTAGTCTGTTCTGTCGCAAGGACCTCAGGATATCAGGCAAGTCAATTACATAATTACCCTTTTTCTGTGAGATTATGCGGACAGAAATACATAAATAAATCTTTTTACACATGCTTAAACTTGCTGTATTTATTGAAAGTATTGTTTTCATGCTGTGTTCATACAATGCGATTGCCCGTGAAGATCCGGGCAATTGGTCTCCAGCACTACACGCTTGTCGTAAAAACGTGACTAACTGGATCGGGTGAGGTGAGGTGAGGTGAGGTGAGGTGAGGTGAGGTGAGGTGAGGTGAGGTGAGGTGAGGTGAGGTGAGGTGAGGTGAGGTGAGGTGAGGTGAGGTGAGGTGAGGTGAGGTGAGGTGAGGTGAGGTGAGGTGAGGTGAGGTGAGGTGGAGGTGAGGTGAGGTGAGGTGAGGTGAGGAGGTGAGGTGAGAGGTGAGGTGAGGTGAGGTGAGGTGAGGTGAGGAGGTGAGGTGAGGTGAGGTGAGGTGAGGTGAGGTGAGGTGAGGTGAGGTGAGGTGAGGTGAGGTGAGGTGAGGTGAGGTGAGGTGAGGTGAGGTGAGGTGAGGTGAGGTGAGGTGAGGTGAGGTGAGGTGAGGTGAGGTGAGGTGAGGTGAGGTGAGGTGAGGTGAGGTGAGGTGAGGTGAGGTGAAATTGGGTTTTACGTCGTGCTTGAGAATATTTCGCTCATATGACGACGTGCATGCGTGTGTATGTGTATTTGCGGCTACTTATACTAGCCCAGACTTAAGCTGGTTTTATAGTGCTAGCCCACTGAGATACCATGCCGCAGTGAAGCATGAATACCCCACTCAGACACATTATACTGACTCCGAGCCGACCAGTCCTGGTTGTACCCATTAATGCCGAGCGCCAGGCAGGGACCAACAAGAACCACATTTTAACGTCTTTTGGTATGACGCGGTCGGGTATCGAACCCGCGACCTTCCGCACTCCGGGCGGACGCTCTAACCACTACACCACGGAGGCGGTCGATTGGATCGGGTGGTCAGGCTCGCTGACTTGGTCGAAGCTCATGTTGTTGATCGCTGAGTGCAGCATAAACAACAAACCAAACAAAACAAACAACTTTACTATGGTGGCTGATAAGGGCCACTGTCTCGCCTTAAGCGTGCAACATAAACAACGGTGTGCTATGTGCAGGTGTGTGTATGTGCTGTATATCGCATTTTATGTAAACTAGTGCTCAAAAGAAAGTATACAGTGTGTTTGACCAAACTAGAAAAGGAAACAAAAGAATATGTGAATGAACATCTGTTTGTTTGTTTTCAATTCTACAGGAAATGTACACAATTTAGCTTCATACAAAGTCGAAAGTACCGTTTAACTGACACTGAAAGACACGTGGTATCATAATCTGAACGTTTACTCAAATCAACAAGGTGGTATTAGCAAGATGTCATCAAATACTGAATCAATAGCGAGTGTGACCACCATTGACGTCGCCGTTACAAAACGATTTCTCCGATGAATTGTCCGGATTTGGCGATCATCGTCGGGCGTTGTCACACGAGGTCACACGAGGTCACACGAGGACGACCACTCCCAGGTCTGTCTGATGTATTGCCTGTTTATCTCCGTCGTTGGGTACAATGTGTGAAGCCCATTTCAGGTGTCCCCCGCCGTGATGTTGCTGAAATATTGCTAAAAACGGCGTAAAACTAAACTCAGTCAGTCAGTCAGTATCTCCGTCGTTGCATCAGTCTGATGACAGTTGCTCTGATGCAACCGAAGGTTCTGGCAATGACGGTGTGGTTAGCTCTATGTTGGGCCATTCCGACAGTTCTTTCGCTTTCGATTTGCATCAAACGTGACCTATTTTTTGTGTTTATAATTATTTTTGTACTTTATACTAAGTACCCTGCTGTTACGTGGCGCGTCCCGTTCCAGTATGCTCATACATTAATATTATATTATTTCTATTATTCTATTTCAACAAAATAATGATCGTTTGTTTAACAACTTTCTTATTCGGTTGTCCAAAATTATGAGACATATCATCAGAGTTGGTCTGTCGATTTCATGTGACTGTGCAAAATTTGGTTTTGTTGGATTTATTAGATTTTGTGTTAGCGAGCAATTCATCAGGTCTCAAATGAAATCAAATGACGGTAAGGTCAGGCGGGTTAGAGAATTGGCAGTTGAAGTCTACCAAACCTTTGAACCGTGTAAACACTAGTGGTGGTCCGATTAATTGAAATAATCGAAGATTGGTAGTAGTGACTAAACGACCAAGCAATCGATCATAATTTCTCATAATCGAACACAAACAATTCTGGAACACTTGTTTTCATTAACAATATTTTTCACATGGTTGGTTTTGTCTGTTACATTTCGTAAGCACTGCAAGCTCGTTTCATGTCATGATTGAATTATTTTAAAGATTCCAAGAAATTTGTTCCCAACATACTAGTCATCCTTTAAAGATGTGAAATTTTGCCAAAAAAACCCTAAAGGAACTACATGTTTCTTTTCTTATTTTTATGTGCATTAACAAATTTCATAAATGACGCTAACCAATTATTTTCGATGATTGATCGGTAGTAATGAGCCAATCATCAAATATGAGATTTGAACCAATTCCCAACACAAGTAAACACCTACTTGCATCTTCATGTTTTGATGTCCAGAAAACATCCACTGGCTCCTTCGTATCTTGTAACAGAAGTGAAAATACCCGGTATCAACAAAAAAGTGTCTGATATCATGATGATGCTATAGAAGACAAAGTCAGATGTGCCGAACTCTTGGACTCTGAATACATACAGTGGCTTCATTGTGTCTTGCAACGAATGCAAAAACACGACAATGTCAGACGTGGCACTAATCCTGAAATGTTTATGATTTCAGAATGGTGCGACTAGCCACAATGTCAGACGTGGCAATAATTCTGAATTGTTTATGATTTCAGAACGGTGCGATCAACGACAGTGTCAGACGTGGCAATAATTCAGAATTGTTAATGATTTCAGAATGGTGCGATCAACGACAGTGTCAGACGTGGCAATAATTCTGAATTGTTTATGATTTCAGAATGGTGTGATCAACGACAGTGTCAGACGTGGCAATAATTCTGAATTGTTTATGATTTCAGAATAGTCCGATCAACGACAATGTCAGACGTGGCACTTATCCTGAAATGTATCCAATTTGAGAAGGGTGCGACTAGCCACAATGTCAGACGTGGCAATAATTCAGAAATGTTTATGATTTCAGAATAGTGCGATCAACGACAATGTCAGGTGTGGCAATAATTCAGAAATGTTTATGATTTCAGAATGGTGCGATCAACGACAGTGTCAGACATGGCAATAATTCTGAAATGTTTATGATTTCAGAATGGTGCGATCAACGACAATGTTAGACATGGCAATAATTCAGAAATGTTTATGATTTAAGAATAGTGCGATCAACGACATTGTCAGACGTGGCAATAATTCAGAAATGTTTATGATTTCAGAATAGTGTGATCAACGACAATGTCAGACGTGGCAATAATTCAGAAATGTTTATGATTTTGAGAATAGCGTGATCAACGACAATGTGAGACATGGCAATAATTTTGAAATGTTTATGATTTAAGAATAGAGAGCGATCAACAACAATGTCAGACGTGGCAATAATTCAGAAATGTTTATGTTTTCAGAATGGTGTGATCAACGACAGTGTCAGACGTGGCACTAATCCTGAAATGTATCCAATTTGAGAAGGGTGCGACTAGCCACAATGTCAGACGTGGCAATAATTCTGAAATGTTTATGATTTCAGAATAGTGCGACCAACGACAATGTCAGACGTGGCAATAATTCAGAAATGTTTATGATTTCAGAATGGTGCGATCAACGACAATGTCAGACGTGGCAATAATTCTGAAATGTTTATGATTTCAGAATAGTGCGACCAACGACAATGTCAGACGTGGCAATAATTCAGAAATGTTTATGATTTCAGAATGGTGCGATCAACGACAATGTCAGACGTGGCAATAATTCTGAAATGTTTATGATTTTTAGAATGGTGCCATCAACGACAATGTGAGACGTGGCAATAATCTTGAAATGGCTCTGATTTCAGAATGGTGCGATCAAAGATAATGATGGGCGTGGCAATAATTCTGAAATGGTCCTGATTTCAGAATGGTGCGATCAAAGATAATGATGGGCGTGGTAATCATTCTGTCCATGTCATCACTGTCGTTGACGCAAGATGTTTCAACTACCAGTGGACGACTCCGAGGAAACCGTCTGTCAGTCCTTGGAAAGTCTGTTGACGTGTATCATGGAGTACGTTTTGCCAAACCGCCTGTTGGAGATCTGCGCTTCAAGCATCCTGTTGCTTTCGAGGCGAACAACTCGGGTATCACATACGCCCAAGTTCCCGGACCATCCTGTATCCAGCCAAAAATACCATTGTTTTTGGAAAGCTTCAAGCAGATTCCTGATTACTACAGCGAGGACTGCCTGCACCTGTCGATCTGGACACCAACAAATAACACTGGTAACCTTTCTGTAATGATCTGGGTATATGGTGGTGGATTTTATCTTGGGTCTGGTCAGATGCCTCTTCACAACGGCGCAGTTCTAGCTGTGGAGAATAACGTTATCGTGGTGACCATCAACTACAGACTTGGACCCCTAGGTTTCGCCTATCTAGGCCCGGGAACCGTGCCTGGCAACATGGGTTTAATGGACCAAAGAATGGCATTCAAATGGGTCAAGACAAATGTTGCCAATTTTGGTGGAGATGCCAACCGAATTACCATATTTGGGGAGAGTGCTGGAGGAATATCTGTTGGTCTTCATGTATTGTCCCCCTTGTCAAGAGATACGTTTGACAGAGCAATCATGGAGAGTGGACCAATATCAGAATCCTTTACATACCTAGATGCTCACACAAGTAAAGATATCACAATAAAGCTTGCTGAGAAACTCAAGTGCCCTACTCATACCGATGTTGATATCTTTGAGTGTTTGAAATATGCTGATGCTCAATCAATGGCAGGCCTTCAGTTAACCCTCGGCGTCATGTACCCCATTCCATTTGCTCCAGTTATTGATAAGTATTTCCTCCCTGAAGACCCAAAGACATTGCTGGACAGAGGCGAATATAAGAACACCGAGCTTTTGCACGGTTTTAACAAAGACGAAGCTACTTTGTTTGTGATGACCTTAGTCACTGGCTTAAGAAATCTTACCTTGGCACCACAAAATCTGATTCTTAGTTCTGCAGAATATGAAATGATGATAAAATCAACATTCATGGAAGAGTCGAATGATAAGGCTAAAGAAGCACTGAGCATCTACTACAAGAGTCTGCAGCCTCCTGGCAACGTCGACTACTTTGATGTCGTCAACAATCTTCAGAGCGACGTCCTCTACAATTGTCCAGTTGTGGAATTTGGATCAGTGTTCTCCAGGATCAACCCCACGTTTCTGTATGGTTTCAATCATCGCATCTCTACAAATCCATTCCCAGCATGGACAGGAGCGGCTCACGGCTTCGAGATAGAGCTAGTGTTTGGTCTTCCCTTGAATGCATCACTTGGATTCGACCAAGATGAGGCGACTCTCAGCAGAACCATGATGACCTACTGGACCAATTTTGCCAAGACTGGGTGAGTCTTGCACTTCATGGCAACTTATTGATCCAGGTATATCACTCAGTAAAATAGGCTGGGGTATGAAATAACACCCGTCATTGCTGGATGTATTCTGGCTGTATTTCTATATGGAGAGTAACGTCGGTGTGGTGTGTGCTTTATTTTAGTTTGTTTGTTCTTTAGCGAGGCACTCTGGAATATTCCAGCTATATGTAAATAATCGAGTCCGGACTAGAACATTCAACGATCAACAGCAAGAGCTTCATCTACGCAAGTGGAATACGTTGATACGTATCAACCAAGTGAGCGAGACTGACCGCCGGATCACTTTAGTCGCCTCTAAGCGTGGGTTGCTGAAGACCAATTTTAACTGAATTGTAGTCTGAAATTATACTTTTAAGTCTTTATAAAAAAAAAATGTTTACAGTTATTTATCATTATTTAGATAACCATCTTTATTTCAGAAATCCTAACTCCCCGGTGCCGGTGCCCGTTGCTTGGCCGGCTTATGACAACACCGACAGGAACTACCTGAAACTGGATGTTGGCAGTAACCTAGCAACAGGACAATCTCTACGTCACCAACAGTGCACCTTTGTCAACAAATTACTTCCCATGATTCCAGGCGACGATGTTCAACGTAAGTCTTTTGAACATTTTACAAAAATCCTGTTTTCATTACACCTTACCAAACTGGATCAAAACCCGTTTTACTTCCAAGAATCGATCGACTGACGTCAGCGTTTGGTTGGTTACGTCTCCAAGTAAACACAAGTAATCCTGTTGTAGTCTACTTCTAACTTCAGAAAAAAATGTTGATGTATTTCATTCTAACAATGACTCGTCAAACAATTGACTTACTGACCACGTAACTGAGTGTAAGAACACAAGTAACACAGCTTTAGCATGTCATAATGTGACGTCACTTTTCGACCATGACGTCATAGGGAAATGGTGCTTAAACTACAGATTTACGTTATTTCTCAGCAAAATATATTATTGAGCAGCGTAAAATACAATTACCTTTAAACACATTTTCAGACACAACCAAAGCACCTTTCTCCTGTCCAAGAACCAGCGCCGGAAGTCACAATCGGAGTTTTCTCTCGCTAGCAGTTGTCTCCCTTTCTCTTGTCATCAGACAACTTTGCCTTCACTCGTGAGACCACCGCACAAATCACTATCAAGACTGGTATCAGATCGTCGATATCAAGCGCTGAATTACGAGGTGTCAATGTACTGCTGATTCATATCTTTAAGAAGTACATATTTTTATAATAGATTGGATGTAAGATAATATGGTATCAAGCTAACTCTCTCAAGTGTTAAATTTCGAGGTGTCAATGTACTGCTTTTTTCATATCTTTAATAAATATATAGTTTTATAATAAACTGGACATATTTCAATAGAGTATATGTTACTCCAGACATGTATCACCACAGGGCTACTCCACCTCTCCCGGAGAAGGGAGTGATCACACAAAGCGATAGTATTCTTGTGGCACTTGTAATATGAGATGAGAGGTAATAATAGCTAGTTCCCTTTCTCCGGCAGATGTTTCTGGAGTAATTCCTTTGTATCCCTATCCAGATCATCTTATATCATTATGTGTCTCAGACCACGGTGGAAGCCTCTAGACCTCTGTCTAAATATAGCACACCACAGTTGCATCCACAGGTACTATGTATGAGGTGAAGTGAGGTGAAAGTGGGTTTAACGTCGTGCTTGAGAATATTTCGCTCATATGACGACGTGCATGCGTGTGTATGTGTATTTGCGGCTGCTTGTATCAGCCCAGACTTAAGCTGGTTTTATAGTGCTAGCCCACTGAGATACCATGCCGCAGTGAAGCATGAATACCCCACTCAGACACATTATACTGACTCCGAGCCGACCAGTCCTTGTTGTACCCATTAATGCCGAGCGTCAGGCAGGGACCAACAAGTACCATATTTTAAGGTCTTTTGGTATGACGGGGTCGGGGATCGAACCCGCGACCTTCCACTCTCCGGGCGGACGCTCTAACCACTACACCACGGAAGCGGTGTAACAGTCATAACTGATGATGTTGCACTATAACAAGACGGAGATATACAGTGTCTCAGTTGCGTAAGTAGACTTTCATGAAGTCAATCACTGGATTGATGGGTGCAGACTTTAAAGCCGTGACGTGGCTGTGTGCAACTTAAGCCTGCAACCAATCAAGTATCAGCTAATAGCAAAATTAAATTAAATTTAATTAACTGTGAATAGATCAGAAAGACAATCTTTAATCAAATATTTTTATCAATATTTCAAGCAACATAACAGGAAAATACCTTGGGCTACAACATATTTACTCACTCACTCACTCACTCACACACACACAAACCCATCGACCCACGCACCCACCCTTAACCATTTAGGGTATATATACTACATGCAGCCAGTGTAATTGACATTATAACCAGTGGAAAAAAAGACTTTACTTAAAAAATACAACATTGGCAAATGGCATTATATCCAGATTGGCATTATAATCAGGATATTATAAGGACAGGAAAGCTGGTCTGGCACAAAAACATGGCATTATATTCATGGCGGCATTATAACCAGGGTCATTTCTCACGGTGACAATAACATATATGTTTCCACGATCTGTGTGGGCAATAAGTACGATCATATGTTCTTAAACCATGCTATTCTTGAGTTTGAGAAACTTAAATACAGTCACACACCGTTGTGTTTTAGGTTTGTCGAACTCAAGGTTGTCTCGAAGTAAAAACCTTGGCCAAGTTTAGGTATCATTATACGATTGCGTAGAACCGACTGTGAAGAGCATTGAGTCACTGTGTTTTTCAGTGTCTCTTTCCTAAGAAACTGCTTTTCCTAATGTCGTAATTTTGTAGAAGAATATTTCATAATAATGATGCACGCCTCCCCGTGGTGGGCCTAGGTAGGGGATATATATCCCCAAAACTAAACCTACATCACCCAATTAGGGCTGATCAGCTGATTAACTTCTCGGTTGCAAACAGCCACCCAAGAAAACACCTCTAACTCATTTCCGTAGCCCAGTCAGCCTTCCTCCGGTAATGCCACCAGTCATACTGGAGATGGGACTTGCCATAGGGGAAGGCACAGAACCCGACCAGGAATGTCTTGGTCAAAAAATCTTAAAACCATACTACTGGAGTGTGCAAAAGCGACAGGATGGCCTAAAATCCACGCATCAATGGCAAGTCGCTTAAGCTGCACTGGGACAATGTCATACCAGTGATGCTTACCTGATCTCCGAGTCCAACTCCGGCGGCTTAAGAACATGCGCCCTTGAGCCAGTTGAACCCACATCAGGTACAGGTGGGGAACATTTGCATGGGCAGAATTCTCAAGTGTCAGCAGACCCAAAACTTCAATGGACGTCCGCGTCAGCCTTTTTCCCCCTCCTCGTACAAATTTTTCCGGCATAGAGCCAATTGGCCCCGAAGTTTCTGACCCTCTCTCTTCTTGTTCCTCAGTTGCAGATATTTCTGTTCACATTTCGTTTAAATTTGTTATTAACCCTTAGAGAAACGGAGGCCATTTAAACAACTAAACGTGTCACTTTCCAAAAATGAAATTGATTTACTTTATGAAGCGATTTCTCTAAAACTTTCTGTGGACTGTTCATTAAATGAAGATAGTTTTTGTGTCTATGCTGCGGCTCGAACTTTGGAGCAACTTCACCCAGTTTCCAAAGAAAGAGCATCTTGTGACGAATAACAAAAAAACCCAAACAAACAAAAAAACAAACACAAAAAGCACAAAGAACAAAAAACAACAAACAACAACAACCGATTTCTAGTTAAACTTAATGAAACTAGAAGAAACAAAATTTTCCTGGAAAGAGCTGTGCCTTAAAATGAGATCTTCAGGGAACCCAATGTCTAAAAGACAAAGTCAATTTGAATAAAAATAAAATTCAATACAAGACAATGAAAGAAAAGGTACTTCTTCAAATTGTTGATTCCAATAAGGCAAAATTATGGGTTTGGACAGAGACCTACCAAACAAAATAAACTCTTGAGAAACAATGAGAAGCATTTTCACAGGCAACTCAAAACAAAGGGTGATCGTGAACATGATAAGCCGCCTCCCATGGATGCCATGGAAAGGTTCTCGAAACCGTTCTGGCCTGCATTTCACAAAAGCCTCCTAAATTTAGGAGGTCGTAGCCCATACGACCTTGTTTACGACCCTCTTCCGACCTCCTTTACGACCGTTTCACAAAGACGTCGTATCCATGTCGTACGACGGGGTCCTAAATCGATGTCGTACATTATATAAGAGGTACTTTGTTGCATAGCAACGCATAAATCGAGACCGAACGGGCACCTGCCTATCTTCTTATTCCCAAAGTATTTCAAAAATTGAAAGTACAGGTTATCTTATCGTAACAAAATCAATCGATGAATTATTTTGGATTCACTGACTAAATTCCATTGAAAATTACAAGATAAAATACAATGAGAATATGACGGATTCGAACTAGCAATAGCTGCGAGAAAAAAAACTATGATCGCTGTGAAGTTCGAGTTACTTACCTTAGTATCACCCACAGACGATAAGCTACTGGAAAATGGAGTCCAATGAGAAAACGAAGAAACCAAACTTCTCATCCACAGAATTAGACGTGATGAGTTCTGGCATTGAGGCCAATATAAATATCAACACTTCGACACTGACCAACACAATCACAAACAACCTGAAGAAAAAAAGTTGGATGGACATCACAAACAAGTAAGAGATTTTACGCACCGCACTTGTTTTCGAACTTTGAAGCGTTACTAAAATATTAATATGCATTTCTCAAGCAAGGTATCATTATATGCCCTAATTACTCAGTTTACCTGTCGACCGAAATTAAATTTCAACATGGCAAAACTGAAAATTATCTCGATATTAATTCTGTGTACTAAATCATTCAATTTTCACAGAGTAAACTCCGTCAGCAAGACAGTGAGAAATGAGGACGAAAACAGAAAAAAAAATGGACCGACTAAAAGGGGCAAGCAATAAAGGGGCAGCATGTCAAAAACAGGCGGAGATCCACCACCCGAGGAGTTGTCTTCCTTAGAAAATAGAGTATGTGAAGATATATTTTTTACGAGGTAAACCCGTGCCTAATTAAGGTATTGCGAAATATATGCAATTATAAGTGAATGTCATTTGTTTCAAAAATATTATGAATTTTGTTACAGGTTCTGCAGCTGATCCCATCCTGCCTTATTGAGGGGATTCCGGGTGGCAAGAAAACACCTAGTGAGTATAGTCGAATAAAAATATACAAAATGTCATACAAAGTAATTTAAAAAAACCCCCAAACACCAAAAAACCCAAAAAAACACACACACAAAACATTGAGTTTCTCAAAATATAAAATTGGTTGCAATTGTAGCTTTGACATTTATTGACGGACCGCTCAGGAGACATTGACAAAATGGTAAGGATATTTTGATTAAATTCAATGTAATTATTATACCTTTATTTTTCAGGAAATTGATTAAATGATGTAATTATATGGAGATAAAGCTCCTATACATATATTTATCTTTCAAATACCGGTACTGTAGTGGCAGTGGCAGCTATTGAAGAGTACACACCAGCTGAACCTACCCTGGCCTGTGAGGCAGAGCCAACACCTGGCTGCAGCAAAGACAGTGATGGTAATCAACTCTCAGCAAAAATGATGATTAAAGGATACAACAATCATGCATTTATTGGCAACTGTAGATTAATAGGTAGAGTGAGTCAATTATTTTGAAATAGAATTTTATTCAAAGTATAACCTTTTTAAATGTATTCTATCTTTGATCATTTCCAATTTTTAAATTTCATGTATGTGAATTCAGATAGCTAGGCTGCAAATTCATTGCTTCCTAATTTCATATTCAGATATTGCGGATTTCTTCAACCCTTATGCAACACAACAGTCATCTGAAATCAAGGAAGAAATCAAGGGGTCAGGAAACAAATTAACTTTTTATAATATATGTATTAAATATTTATGATCACAACTTGTACCACACAGTACTAATTATTTTTGGAAGAGAATTTTTTTGAAAAATCAAACTGTTTAGTTGGCTGGCATTATCATGTACATTTAGCAATTTAATAAGTTAAAAGTGAGTCATATCTGCAAAGACAAAATGATGTGCGCCATTGGTTCATAAAAATCAAAATCAAAACCTTCAGAGTAACTCATATTTCCATTGTTTAGTGAGTGGGAAAGCAAGAGGATCCAAGAAAAGACCAGTGACTGTGATTGAAGGTAAGCATACTTTTAGTA